CGGATGAAGACGTTGCTGGAGACCCCGACCCAGGCCATGCTGAGCGTCGTGACCCCGTACCCGACGCTGTCTCCGCGCGGTTACATGGCGTCACCACTCGTCGAGGCTCTAACGCTCCAGCAGTCGGAGTGCGCACACGTGTCGCCACGTGGGCGGCACACGAGAGACCACGCGCCAACCCCGAACGAGCTTCGCACACACGTGCCGCTAGGAGGGCGGCACTTTCGGACATCGCTGCTTGGAATTCGCGCACACTGATCGACCCGATGCCGCGTCAGGCCATCGAGTACCACGACGTGCAAGACGCGGCGACACCTGCCGCGCCGGTTCTTGCCAACTTCGATCCGCTCCCAGCGCCGCAGCCCCAAGACACTGCGGCTGTCCGCGACTTCCTGCAGAATCGTGATTCGGTTGTCCGCGACACCATCGCAGCGGCGGTGGACCGGCAAAAGGAATATGCCGATCAACGAGGGCGACGACATCTGGAGACGTTCGCCGTGGGCGACCGTGTATTGCTTTCTACGACTGGTATTCAAACTGCTGCGGTTACGAATCTGGGCGCGAACAAGTTCGCGCAAAATCTCAACAAGGCCACCGATGTGGTCGGGGTTCGGTTGCGGTCCGCCACCGACGCTCATGAGCTGCGGGTAGGCGGTTTTGCTGACGACACGGCATCTTACCTTAGAAGTGCCGATTATATGCCAGCATTAATCCGTATTACGTCGGAATTTGGTGCCGCGTCGGGTTTGCTGATAAACGCGGCTACAACGATTGCTATCGTGCTCAATGACACTTTCTCAGAACCCTTGACGCCATTGCCACAAGGCTTCCGCTACCACGATTCCTCTGGCACTGCAAGATATCTTGGCTTACAAGTGGGTGGGCTACGATCTACAGAGAAAACGTGGGAGTTAGCGGAGGCACGCGTGCGATCCCGGCCTGCCATCGTACTTTGACAATCGAACAACGAGCTTTGGTTGCCATGGCGATCATTATTTCGGCGTTTTTGTATATTGGACGCCACTCGTGGCCAACCACGAGCATTGTTCAGCGGGCGTCCAAATGCATTCATAACTTCGTTTGGCGTGGTCACTTTCAGGAAGATGTTAGCGGTAAACGAGCATGGTTAGCTCCTGAAATCTCGCTTTTCCACCGCTCGGAAGGCGGACTGGGTATTCCAGATATCAAGGCTGAACTTATAGCAATGGCCGTGGTGACTGTAATGGATTGGGCGACACACACCTCAAAGGTCCGCAGACTTGTCGGCGATATCCTATATGGCTATGATCAAACTGATGTATTCCCGCCAGTCTATATTACACCAGGTTACGCGCAGGTCGCGTTTGGGGCATTCGGCCCTGAACAGACATTGTGGAAAACTGGTGTTGTGATGATATCTAGGGTCGGGGCTTCTGAATTTGCACCTGAACATTCACAATTACTGGAACACGTAATCGGTCTGGTTGACCAAGCTATCCCTCCACAACTGCAGTGGGTAGACCAGGCCGCTACAATTAATTGTCGAGACATTTACGACGGAATGGCACCGCTACGTCAATATCTACGAGCCATATTAGGGGATTTTTGAATGGAGTGGGTGGAATGCACCGATCTCCGCTATCTAGCACGGCTACAGCGTGAGCTCGGAATTGGTGGGACCGACTGGCTGCCTTCGGTATCGGCTTGCAGAGCAAGGTTACTTAGGGATATTCTGCGCTGGGATGTATTGTGCACCGGAGTTGGCATTCTCCACAACTGCTGTGACGACATGCGCGCCAATATCCGTTTATTACTGGTTTTACTACTTTCATTTTCCCCCGACATGCTGAAAAAAGGGAGTATGGATCTCAAAATTACTGCAACACCGGCTGATCACCCTATCTCTGCGCAAGTGGTCGACCATGATGGCCAGATTGAGGTGGCTATCCGGACGTCAACGGTGGGTCCTACTTCGTCCTGCTTTGTAAACTCAGAGCACGAGTTGGTACAGGCACTTGCCGCTTACGCCGGACACGAGGTGAAGATCTCTGCAGTTCACCTCCATCCGAAACTGAGCCGACTTGTCTGTGTGCGGGCTGGACGTGCCCGCAAGATGATGAGACGCCGCCACTATAAAGATGCGGCTCGGACTGCGCCTCGCAGACGTGGGGGACGCGAGACTTCCAACCGACAAGCGGCATGGGTCTCAGACTCTGAGGAAATTGGACGTGCACTCGTGGGCTGACATTAGAAAAATTGTGGGGGTATCTCCTTGGGGGGGCCACCTTCTTTTCCGGATCAAACAAAGAGCTTTCTCCAGGTACGACCCCGCCAATCGGTGCCCCGGGTGCCCTATGGAGGAGTGTGCTACTTCAGACTTGGGGGTCGGTCACATGTTTTGGACGTGTCCTGGAGCAAGATCGCTGTGGCTAGTCTTCTATCAGAATTGGGAGCGATTGGGGTTTACAGATGCGGACTTTCGCCCGAGAAATGTATTTGGCCTAAAGCTCCCTGCTGTCCCGAGAGGCTTGTGGCCCATTTTTGATCGAGTATTCAGCGCCACACCACGAGAGGAAAAAGACAAAATTCAGCAATGTGTCCAACCTATTCTTGCTACGGCTTGGTCCCTGGGTATCGTAGTTACCTTACAAGCTATCTGGCGTCGCCGGTCAGCATACTGGGACGCAGCACGTAACTCATCTGAACAGCATGCGGCAGCACATATCAGGTATGTAAATGCAGGCATGGACCCTTGAAAAAGCTAAGGAAAAGTGAGTACATCAATGTAAGGGGGGACTTCGTCCCCAATAACCAGATGCTACAGCGGCACCCGTAGGGTAAACTATAGACTGTAGCAATGAGAACATGTACGGCGAAACAGCTGAGTGTTTTACAAGGGCTCCACGGTAGCCCAGTGAGTCCGCTGATCCACGAACCGACCGTCACCGCCGCCCTTATGTTTGTTTCCCATTACTTATCAGATCTTCTCCAAGACCTCGAAGGCACACCTACCCAGCTGGGGGTCGGCAAGTTGACGAGTTGACGGTCAACGACGGGATCCTCGTGCAGATCACGCGTGGACTTCCACCCTCAGCCGCAGACTGGGCGGTTAGAAATCTTATCGTAGGTGTGAGCAGGACATACAGTACAAACTCGGCTTACCTTGCATCCTAGTAGTGTCTCAACTATACATGTAAGTATATACATATGCCTATGCATGCATGCGCTTAGCTTCGCTGCCACTTCGTACAACTCTCAACGATAGCGAAGCCAGCTCTGGATGTAGGCATCCGTGTTACGATACGATGCATTATTCTGGGATAGCAGTAACCCCGGAGGGAGTGCTGTGGCCAGCTCAACACAGATTAATTAGGCGGCACCTCGGTAACTGAAGCCGGTAAAACTGGCCCCGATAACTGAAGTTAACGGATTGTCTATACTCTCCATCTCAAATCCGAGACAAGCTCGAGATGGATGGAAGACAACTCGAAAGCGACGGCTTACCGCGTACCAGTCCACACATCAGTGATCAGCGGTGCCGCGAGGCCGTAAGTGATGCAAATTATACTACATGTACTTCTCTGTCTCACCAATTTATAAGTAGTTGAGTTTTTCTATCATAAGTTCGCCTACACAAACAAGCCAAAGCCCAGCGTACCCGCGTTGTAAAATCCGTAGTAGAGCGCTGTTTACAGTATTTTTTGCAATCTAATAACGGCTCTCAGCAAGTAACTAACAACACAAATGCAAGCACACATTAAAGAGAAATAAGGTTTTATTTCGTGATTCTGTGGAAAATTAGCGATATTACAACAAAAAGTTACCACACGATTGCTCCAACTTATCGACTCTCTACACAATAGCACACGCACCAGAAACATGCGGAACACTCCGAATTAGGCACTCAAGTATGTGAGGTTTTATTGCCTGTTATGCTGATTTCGGCCAAATCACATGATAATTTTATCCAATCACCGATCTTCAAGGTTTTAGATACACAATTAAATAATAAATGCTCAGTTTTAAAAAGTGGTTCTATTGATTAAGAATCTGAGACGTCAGTGCCTTGTAGCCATTTTCTATAGTTGTCGCTGTCGTTGCAAGTGACGTTGGACCGAGACCAGTCGGACCGACAGTCTTACGAACTCGAGGGAGCTTGAAATCATTGCCTCCCTCGTCAGTGATAATACATTCCAACACTTTTTGCAATGTGAGGAAGCATTTCTCAATATATTAATATTTAACACTGTTAAAAGCGCTACCTACTGCGTCGATGAGCCCGTCGATCTGGTTTGTCGGTTGCCGATACTGAATTGCTTGAATAGAGTTAAAAATCCCTAAATCAAGAATATTACATTCTGGAGAGTGAGGTGGCTGGCACAACATTTGGATATTCCAGCCACCTTCCTTACCAGCGGCGAGGACCTCACCATGATCTTCCTCCACATGCGGACCAGCGTTATTCTGTTGGACACAAATAACAGAAGTCTTACGACCTGTACACGTAAATAAAAAAGTTTGTTAAGATACATAAATCAAAAGTATTTTCGAAATAAAAAAACTTACCCGGCCATTTTGCACGAATAGCAGGAAAAACTTTTTCCTTGAGCATCTCCACGTACACTTCTTGACATGCTGATATTCTTGGTAATCGGCGTGCCGGCAACTCGATTTTTAGAAGTTTTTTTTGCCTTGGTGCGCTCAACAATGGGCCAGATCCCAATTTTTCCGTCAAAGTATGTTTTCCGTGAAAAATCATACCTCGGTCTTGCTACGGCTGCGAGAAACATCACCTTACTGATGTAGCGTTTGTTTGAACACGAACGGTAAGGTAATACTTCATCAGCAGCCAAGTAGTATCGAGAAGACGCCTTGTACATATTGAACCAGTTCTCATCTATATGAACTACATCATACATAGCATCAAAACGGTACAAAAGTCCTCCTTTGGAGAATATTAGTCGATAAATATTTCAAACATTTATTTCAATAAATAACATTAATAAAAATAACGCAAATTCCTACCGATTGGACGCTGCACTTGGGCAAGAGCCCACATCAGCCGCTGAAGCTTGTGTGCGTCCGTAAGCGTCGGCTGACCCTTGATATGAAGCGCCGCAGGACCTTGGACTTGAGGTGCCTGATCTTGGGATGCCGGAAGCCGCCTCGAGAAGGCGCAGAGTCTGCCGCTGGCAGAGCGGCACGGCCGCAACACGCTCGCCCACCTCTTTGGGGCTGATACGCGTCGGCTTGGGTGGGTACGGCCGCCGAGGCTGCACCAGCGCAGCTGGATCGCCCCGAAGACCCCAGATGGTCTCGATGGCAGCGTGGCTGAGCTTGAACAGCCTCTTGGCCCGCACGATGGTCCCGTAGCGGAGGCGGCATTCCTTACTTAAGGTGGTAAGATAGACCACCACCGCAACGCGTACTTTCGGCGAGATGTCCTTCGCGCCGACTGTCCTTGGCATCTTGAGTGCAGGTTCTGCTGTTGGGCTCAAAACGTAGATTAAGCGCACACACCAACCGTTTTACGGTGGCCTGATGCTAGCCTTACCCCAAATAATTATATCCAATTAAATCATTCTAACATATTTAAGTGGTACACAAAAAACCAAACTACCTATAAATTGGTGGGACAGAGAAGTATTAATATTACTTGACAGGTGAGGAAGTACAACGCGCGTTTTCAGTGGTGCACCTCCAGCCGAAAACACGCACCAAGTACGCCCCGAACGATCCGTCACCTCTTTAACCCCCTCGCACTCAAGTGCATCTAGTATTGTGGAAACCGACTAGATTGTCTAATTGGGATATAAATCGGTTGATTAAGCAGATGATTAAGCTTAATCGGGTCTGATTTGTTAAATCCGACCTCCTAATTAGATCGACAGACTAAGATTTGTACTCTGATTTGACAGAGCGGTCAGTTGTGCCTACAACGCCATGGGGCAAGCTGATTTAGCTGCTCCACGGCTCACAAAACCCGAAACGGCTGATTTGCAAACTAATCAGCCCGAATGTTCGACACCCACACGGCATTCGGTGGCCGATTTAACGTAAAACCGACAAACGCTAATGCTGACGAGAAATGACAGCGCAAATACATGACTTCAGAACTTGATAAATAGATAGCAGTACACATCGAAGCTCACAGAAGCGTATTTAATGCACGCGATGCTAATTCTCGTTAGTAGGTACCGGTACGCGAATCACTCAGCTCGTGGCGGTAAGTGGTCGCCCGTCGTATTTCTGGCGGGTAATGAGGCAACCCCCATTTTATTAGCCTTACACCGATTTATACCCTTATCAATGCCATATGGAATCATAAGGATCCCCGATTTAGTACCAGTCAAATCTCTCATGAACGCTGCTTTATCAGCTAATCCGCTCGGGCAATCTAATCGGTTTCCACAATACAGTAAAGTGTCTCGATAAAGAACGTCTGATATGAATAGAAAGAAGAAGGTATATTCATGATTGAAGGTTTGTCTCGTCACATCAAATCCCCTATGTACTGGTTTACCGGCACGTGATGGGTTGGAGCGTGCACGGCGAAAGCGCGTCATATCTTGCTACGCACACAGGAGGAAACCACTAGATCATGTGACATCGAGTCAATGTTCTTTCGCATGCCTGTGTGGGCTCCGAATTGACCAGGCTGCCATCATGACTAACCAAATACTGTAGTTAACGGGCAAGCGTCAAGCTAAAAGATGTAGCGGAGGATTCATTTGAGTTAGCCACGAGGCTCGGTTCCTGAGCTCGGATTGGCGGAAATTTTCAGAAGCGAGAGGATGGGTGGAAGATGTGTGGCGTTAGCTCCCTAAAACAGTACATCAAACAGACAGTGGGCACAAAAGGGGGATGATGCCTTCCTGCAGAGTATAAAATGTAGCCCGTTCCTTATCGAGGCACTTTACTGTACTACGTTGCTGAGGTGGCTACTAAAAGAATAAAGAAAGAAAAGTTTGCGTCTGCAGAAGTCGACGGCCAAAAAGCTCATAAATCAATACAAATTCTGATAGGCTCTAAGTCAATGTAGCAGATGCAGATGCGCTGTAATGGAAACGCAAATTTACATGCCACAAATACTGTAGGTAGTAACAGGTAAGTCGTAGATCTCAGAGCTTCTTCGTTCAACGCGCGCGACTTTGTTTCTCGTTGAATTGTTGCTATGGCGATAGCGATAGTGACGGCGCGGCCGCGGTGAAGATGGTCACACTAAGTTCTTTAGCTATCCCAGCCTTTGCATAGCTCTCGTTTGAACAAGCGCTCGTACCGTCTAGCTGAGCAGCTGGATGTACGGTAACCCAGACTCCAGGCTCCGGAAAAGTATATCAGGCACCCTCTGAAGCACTTCGGCTCCGAGCGGAATGCGACGATGGCAGGAAATCTTAATATTACAGTATATCATGGTGCAGCATTCATAGTTCAGTGCAGTATAGTATCAAAACGTAGCAATGGAAGGATTATTAATAAATCATTCAAGTAGATCAGAACCTACGGGTACCAGACGTTGACGAAGAAAGCCGAGATTTGCAGACCGACGCAGCGAGCTTCATTTTCGTCAAAGATGAGGGGCACGTTCCTTTCTACGCTCCAGCCTGTAGTAAATAGTTTAGTCTATTACACCATTTCAAGGCCAAATTGAGAGAAGTCGTGCTTCAAATTGAGAACCGCCAAAAGCAAATTGAGAAAACCTCCAATCCCGAACATGCATATCATCTAATCACCTTCAAGACCGAATATATCGTACAGAGCAACTGACTTGCCCACGCTATGTTGATCAGAAAATTCCCTCCAGAACATTTTGGCCGGGACAGTGCCCTTTTTCTTGATCTCTCTTGTTTTGATTTTGGTCGTTTTTGTTTTGATTTTGACTTCTCTCAATTTGGCCTTGAAATGGTGTACCAGTGTGTAACGATACGCGATTGCATTGCATGTAAAGCAATTTGTAGATCATGGGGAGTCCCCATTGGGGACTAGACTAGTAAGGTGACTAGCAACATTCGAAAAGGCGAATTTTGCTATCACCCTACTCCGTGCTCCGTGCGGTCTTTCCTAAAACATCGCTACGGCGGCCATGCTGGCATCTTGGGGTTTCACTCGCGTGCTTGGCACACGGACTAATAAACTACAGGCGTGGGTTCGATTTGTGCTGATGGTCGAAGCTTCTTTTAAGTTATCTCTATAATCTACCTACGTTTAAGAAATTGCCACAATGTACTCTATTACGGTAATGGTGCTAAGTGTAGCAATGTCGATACGCAAGCACGTACACTGCGCGACAAAAAGTTTGGGACAGCGACACTTTGTACAATATCTCAGCTTCTAGAAGGAGTTGTAGGATGTGACATGGATATGTTTCTCCAATCAGATTGCTTTACACGCGACATATGACGCGCGCTCGGATTTCCCATTGGGTAGGGTGGCTCCCATACAAATATGTCGAATTGGCACCGCGACAAAACTTTGGGACAAAGATTTATCTTGATTAAAGTATAGGTGCCTGTGATGGTGAGGACACGTTAACTATCAGGATCAAGTAAAACAAGGTCGCTAGTTGCTCTTAAATGGGCGGTGAGCGTGAGGGCGTGCACCCTTGCCACCCAAACCGAGTCAATACAACGTGTACTAATGGTTTAGCAACTTGGAGTGCCTCCTTCCTCTCCTACTGAGCTCGAGTAGCCTTGAGGAGCCCTTCAAAATACTAAACTAATATGATTTGTATCAAAATATGTATTAACGGTAATACCATGTCTGTATTGCATCGTGAGGGTCCAGAAAATACTCGGGGCAGCTCAGCTTTCTGTCTGCTATGTTATACTTCACCTGAGTAGTCCTATTTACCATGGCGGATCCTGAAGTGTTGCTTCAACGCCCATATTGTGCGATTCATCCTACTTCCTGTGCCCAAACCTGCAAATAGTTGGCCGCGGTGGACCTCACAGGCACCTATACTTTAATCAAGATAAATCTTTGTCCCAAAGTTTTGTCGCGGTGCCAATTCGACATATTTGTATGGGAGCCACCCTACCCAATGGGAAATCCGAGCGCGCGTCATATGTCGCGTGTAAAGCAATCTGATTGGAGAAACATATCCATGTCACATCCTACAACTCCATCTAGAAGCTGAGATATTGTACAAAGTGTCGCCGTCCCAAACCTTTTGCCGCGCAGTGTAGAACATAGCACTACGTGTGTACGTTATATATTTTGTAATATCAATGATATTATGTCATGACTGTAATAATCATTCAAATCGAACCATCCAATCTTTTATCATGTAGCTCGGAGTCATCCGCGAATCGAAGCTGAATGGTATGATATCAACCTAATAAACCCTGCATGGCGCCCTCTGAAAGCACTGCGACGAGAGCGGGGAGCTTCAGCTCATTCTCAAATTTCCGTTCTCCCACCAACAAGCTCAAGCGACAACGATGAAGTTCTTCCTCGCCCAGGTCTTGGCGGCAGTGGCGCTATTGACTAGCGGCACTGTTGCGGACGCGGAGCCAACTGATCCGAACGGTGGCGATGGCGGTAACCTGCAATCACTCTCCCTGAAGCCTGGCGAGTACTTCAAGTGCATGGAGGTGCACTGGGGCTCGCATGTGCGCAAAACGCGAATCTCGCAGTATGAACAGGACGCTCGCCGGTGAACTGGGAGGTTTCTTTGGGCGCTCGGGCGCGGAGATCGACCAGTTGGGCGTTGTTTGGACCGACATGAAGGTCGTGGGCCCCCAGCGCTAGTGCACCTGAGCCTGCAAGGTCCCCACCGACTACCGACAACCGGCGTAGTGCCACGTAGACCGGTAGGTGTAGCGAGAACAAACCAGAGACTCCCAGCTAATCGACACCGTTTACTTCACAACACTCTAAAATGTGTTCTGATGGTTGCACGTGATTCTCCTCAGGCTGCAGCGCTGGTCAGCACCAAAGGAGAAGGACAAAATCGTGCTTTGACTGAAAAAAAACGCTGAAATGAAGGCGTTTCCGTGTTAATAGGCCTTTGAAGATCTTCTGTACTTAAGCCCGAACCATTTAGTACTGGAAGACGGCAAGTGTCGTCTTTCGTTTGCTGCGCCGCACTAGAAAATTAGTTTAACTATGATATCCCTAGAGAGGCTGGGCGTAGACAAAGTCGCCCGTAACGACAGTACTATCAAGCAGCACCTGTTGGTCTGGACAGAGAAGACTTTGCGTATTAACTCGCTTGCAGAAGGAGCTCCTCATTCCTTGCGCGTTTTCCGCCAGCACTTGCACGTAGTACGTCTTCCCCGACACTAGCCCCGTGAGCAGCATCGTCACAACTGATCCCGGCGTCGCCACCTCAATTGGAGTCGAGAAGTCGCTTTTTTCCGAGTACTGGATCACGTAATTCTTGACGTCAACTCCACCGAAAACCATGTTCATACTTCCGACAATCGGGCAGCTCCCAGGGGCCTGCAGCGTTCCAGCACACGGATACCCATGAGCTGGAATCACCGGCGCCTGCCAAGTCACACGTAGCTGGCCCACTACGGTCGTAGGCACCATCGTCAGAGTGTTCGGCTTGCCTGGGTTGGTCACCGCTGGGACAAACGATGCGGGCGTGGACGTCTGCGGTGTGCCCTGTCCGCCGCGGTTCTTAGCAAATACACGCACGTAGTACAGCGTTCCGGGGGTGAGTCCCGTGATGGTGTACGACCGCTGCGTTGGGTCGCTCACAGTCACAGTTGTGCCAGTTGTCAGCGCTAGAGAATCGAAGCCAGCCGCCACGTCCCATTGCACCACGTAGGAGGAGATGGTGTCGCCTCCGTCGTCGCTTGGTGGTGCCCAACGGACCGTGAGCATCGTCGCGCTGGTGATCCCCAACGCCACTTGAGTCGGCGCGCTGGGCGTCGTGTACGGCTGCATCTTTGTAGGTGAAGACAGCTGGAACACACCGAATCCCTGCGAGTTTTTAGCGCGGACGCGGATAAAGTAGGGCGTTCCCTTCGTGAGCGAGGAGATCACCCGACGGTAGGGCGCGATCATGCCGCTGATGATTGTCACGACCACGGAGCTCGGCGTCGTGAACACACTGTCAAGGGCCCACTGGACCTCGTAGGCTGCGACTGTATCGCCTCCATTGTCGTCGGGGGGACTGAACAGCACCACCAGCTCCGATACCGAGTACACCGATAGCGTGACAGCAGTCGGAGGACCCGGTACTACCATGGGCTTCTGCGGGTTTGGAGCCACGCCGGGTTTTCCAAAGCCAACTTCGTTGTAGGCTGACACGCGCAGATTGTAGATCTGTCCTTTGATCAGCGCGCCGGTAGCTGGAACAATGCGACTGCCAGTGCAAGTCGGAGGCAGCACGCCAGCTCGAACCTTGGTCGTTATCACGTTGTACGTGGCTGTAGCACACGTTGTCGGGTCGTCGCAGTTGAGCTTGATATCTTTCGCCGCCAGAGCGAAGCTGTCGCCCGTATCCAAGAACGTGATCGACCAGGTGTAGCCTCCATCCGCCGCTGCGACGGGACTGCGCTGGACGTCGACCCCGTTCGTGATGCGTGAGAAGTAGTTGAGCTTAGACTGCATTGAGCCGGACTTCTCCAGTCTTCCGAACGGGTAAATTCCGTTGCTGTTGCATGTCGGGCTGGCCACAGTACAGAAGACTTTCGAGCTCGAGACGGCGGTCGATCCGACCTCCTCTTTGGTCGTGGCCACTGCGTCCCACGGAATGGGGTCCGACAGATCTATGGCGCCAAACCGCGTGAGCTGCAGACGGAAGTAGCCGCTGGAGATTTTCTTGGTTGTTGCCGGGTCACTCGTTCGTACAGTTTGCACTCGCCAAACTGCATACGTTGGAGCCACCGGACACCACGCATCTTGCTGCCCTCGGTTCGTGAACAAAGGAGAGGGGTCATATTCTACGCGATACATCCGTACCGGACTCCCACCGTCACTCGTTGGGGCTGCCCACGTCGCTAGAAGCTGGGTAGCCACGCCAGGGTTTACGTCCACGGAAACACTAGTGGGTGGGCCGGGTACCTGAAGCGGTGGGGTCACACTCGTCGGCGCAGTTTGCGATCGGGTCCCCAATCCAAGCGCGTTTTTAGCCGTAACAGCGACGAAGTACGTCTGTCCTGGTATCAACCCCGTAATGGTGTAAGTCAGAGTAGCTGCATCCAGCGTCTCGTAGAACGCGTAGTCCACTGCTGCTTCGCCTTGTACAGCTAACTCGACCACGGTCTTCTGAGGAGCCGTTAGCTGTCTCAACGCCACAACACCAATAGGAAACGAGCCTGGACACGCAATCACGTCACTGCCAGGCAGACACAGCACTCCGTTCCCGTCCACCGCGTTGTCACCGTCTTTGACTCCAATAAACGCATCTACTGGGGTAAGGTTCGACGGCTCAATGGTGAGTGGGGGCAAGTTGCCCACATTCGAGATGAAGGTGATTGTCCACACCTGCCCGAACCTGAAAGCCTGTCCAGCTGCCGCCATGGACTCCAGATTCACGTTCACAACGCCGATAGTGGGGAGGGATTCCAGCGCGAGCTTCAAATTGGTGGCGCTAATAGTCGCTGGTAAATAATTCGTCCAGGCGGAGCCCTTGTAGCCCAAGCGGAAGTACCCGCCCACCGTCTCTGAGAGGTGATACGTCACAAGAACTTGCACCTCCGACTTCCCCGGGAATGTCGTTAAAGCAGGCACCGCAATACCCGACGTAAGCTCAAACACTCTAGCAGTAACGTCCGTACTACCCACCACATTACCGATCTCCAGCTGAAGTAGGGGCTGGTTTCCAGGGTTCACGTTCGTATTGGCGAATGTCACAGTCCACTGGTATCCGAGGTTGTTGTTAATGGTAGAACGCGACACCTCCACGTGCCCCACGGGTAGAGCCCCACCTACTACGATATTCATTAGGGCGCTGCGTAGATTCTCCGGTAAGATATCCATCGCCAACTGCTCGGATTTACCACCGCCAAACGCGAGAGTAAACGGCGCTTGAGTCGGTACCGTCTTCCACGTGAGTTCGATCACTTGAATTTCTGGCCGCGACTTGGTTCGCCACCATTCAATCTTGTAGCTGCTGAGGCCTAAGCCGCCGTTGGTCGCGGGCTTCTGCCATGTCACGGTGGCCGAGCCAATCGGAGTCGACGAGACGGTCACGGTGCTCACCTTCGCATTGATCGGGCCGTCTGCATGTCGCGTCGGTGCAACTGGAGCAGGCGCCAAAGTCGCTCGACTGTATCCGATGGAGTTCTTAGCCTTCACTTGAGCGAAATACCGCGTCCCAGTTGTAAGTCCTGTTAGGTAAAAGATCCGAGGTCCTCCAGTGTAGAGCTCCGGGATCGAGCCACTGGCGACAAGCACCTCGATCGGTGCGCTTTTTCCTGCGGAATCAAACGTCGAGACCGTGTCGATATCGATCCAAAACGCTGTGATTGCATCGCCCCCTGTCCCCTCCCCGTCCCGAGTGGAGGGCTGGACTTGCAGCTGGAGAATGGTCCCAGAGAACGGGAATAATTCAACCGAAAGAGGTGCGTCAGGTGCGCGGTCCTTTGTCGTAACGGACAGGGGTGCACTCCACTGCCTATTGTCGGGTGGGACGCCGTCCAGAGCAATTTGCTGGACCGGGACGGAGTTAACCGCTGCAACTCGAACGTAGTACGTACTACCGATAACGAGGTTTGATATCAAGTATCGGAAGGGCGGTGAGCCTTGGATCAGTGCGCCTGATACCGATGCCGGTGGGAAGATGTAGTACGTGAGCGAGTACGCGCGCGTGTTGAAGTTCGCGCAGTCGTGGTCACCGACAACGCGCACAACCGTATTGCTCACGATCTTGTCAACTTCCATGACGCAGCCCAGTTCCGTCACAGTGAATTTCGACCCGTCTGATAGTAAATCGCTGAGTGGAGTGGTGACAGTCAACACGATCCCAGTTAACCCCTTGGCGCATCCATCGCAGATCGATAGTCCGTGCTTGAACGTAGACGCGAGGTCCCACTGGACGATGTAGGATGAGATGTCCTTGTTGAAATCCGGACTCATGTTGGAAAGCGCCATCGCAGGAGGCGAGAAGAAGACCTCGATCTCGTGTCCCGATACGACCAATAGATCCACGTTCGATGGGGCGTCAGGAACTTGTCGTGGGGTGGCACTTACTGGAGCGTTTGGTGCGCTCCCCTTGCCGTTGGAGTTGAAAGCGTACACTTCGATGTAGTACTGCTGGCCAATTACCAGCTTCTTGGATGTCTGCGTGGGTAAATAGTAGCATTTATCGCAAGCACTGCCGAATACGCGCACTGTCGCGTCGTCCGGGAACAATCTGGGCACTTTTGCACGGATGTAGCCGAGTGGAGACGCCACGCTCAACATGTCCACAGTCCACACGTAGCCCTTCGTCCACTCGTGCACCGTCACTCCCGTCTGCGTCGAGCCAAGATACCCAACTTCACGGCCATTCAAGTCACCCAGATACAACCGCGTACTCGACAGCCCAGGAGACACCACGTCCGTGCGAACCGTGTACCAGTCACCGCCGATCCGAATCGAATACCCGGGCAGTCCGTACGCAGCAGAGTAGAAGCCGCACGTCTCGCCTGCAGAACACGTGACGAAAATCTCGCCCTCCGTCACGTCCACCTTGCCTGGCAGCGGCTGGTACGATAGCTGCCTTGATACGCCAACCGTCTGGATCGAGTCGAGGTCCTCCAGTGCGTACCGGAGCTGGTCCGCACTCGACTCGGCGTTCAGTGGACGCGTGTACTGGCCCTGGTAGCCCACCTGGAACGTGCCGCTCATGGTGAGAGCGGGGTTGTCGTTGTAGACGCCGTCGATGGACGCGTCGGTGTTGCGCGTGATGACGGCGTCGGCTCCCGCTGCAACTTTCTTCGCGATAGTGAGGCTGATGTCGCCGTACACGCGGTCGAAGACGATCGTGACGTCTTTCGGGTTCGCTGCGCTGCACAAGAGCGTTTGCGCCGGATCGCTCGACACGCTGAGGCTCTCCGCTTCGACACCGAAGAGCGTCTGCAGACTCGTCTCGACGTCGGCCAACACCGCGTTGAAGTCCACGTCGGCGTTCACCCCGTTGTACGTGAACCGGACCTGCCCCGCTGTTGCCTGGCACGAGAACACCACCACCTCCTTGCGGAAGTTGGTCGTCCCTGCTTGCGTCTCCACGACCGACGCGACGGTCAGATGGGACGGCGCTAGTAGGGGCAGCGCGCCAGGCTGCGCCGTGAACGTGATGAGGAACTCGGCGTTCACCGCCAACGCAGTCGCAGCCGACGAAATGTCGACAGAGCCGACGCTGGCGAGCGCCTCAAGGGCTGCCTCGAGGCTGGCTATCGACGTGATGCCCACCGTTTGGGCCGTGGCTCCAGCTGTGAGCGTCGCGGTTGCTACACCGCGGAAGGTCAGCGTGAACGTCCCCGCCGTAATGATCTTCAGCGTCTGGATCTCGGGGACTGTGGGCTGGATCATGTTGTTGGACCACGCCAGACTGGGAGCGCCTGTCGTGATACGCTGCGTCCGGTACAGCACGTCGGCATCCGTGATGAAGACGTCCGCCGGGTTGGCTGTGAACTTGGCCGACGTATCCCAGCGGACCTGGTACTTGGTGATGGGACTGCCGTTGTCGGTCGCCGGTGGATCAAAGGACAACCACAGCTGATCTCCCACCGCATTGGACCCTTTGGTCACCTCTCGGGTGAACACGACCGCACCTTCGCCCGTCAAAGAGCTAGCGTTGCCCTGTAGCAGTGGCAGGTCTCCAGAGTTCAAAACGTTGTCCAGGAACGTCACCACCCAGCTGTACCCTCCTTCCTTGTCGGGTCCTGAGCGCTGAACGCTGACTCGTCCAACAACGTCCAGCGCCTCCAGCTTCTCTTGCAACGACGATCCGTCCGGGTTTACCGTCGCAGCCATCGCGGACGCATCAAACGTGATCGCATCCGTCACGGAGCTGGAATACGCGAGCGTGAAATTTCCCCCAAGCGCGTTGCCCTTCCGTACCTCCTGCATAGAAATCTGACTGCCTGTCCCCACTAGCGAGCTCGTCACCAGCAGCGTAGGAACGTCCCCCTTGTAGTCCAGGAACGTGATCGTCCACGTGTATCCAAGCTGCGGAGACGGCGCTGACTGCTTTACCTGTACTGTACCAACCCATGACATCGCTTCGAGCGCTGCCTTCATCGTTCCAGCGTCGGCATTGAACGGAATCGGCGCAGAAGCTTCAATAAGGAAGCTGCCGCTTAAAACATTACCATTCGTTAGAGTATCGGTCTCGCACCCCGTGCCCGTAGCCGCAGTAAACGTCGCGTCCACGGCACAGATGAACTGTGGTAAATTCCCTTCTGAGTCTTTGAACGCCACCGTCCAGATGTAGCCACCCTGTTCGTCCACCAGCGATTGAGACACCAGTACGTCACCGAATACTGGTAGCTGGTCCAGATCTGCCGTCAGCTGCGCCGCTGTAGCTGACGCAGCATCGACGAAGGTATTATCCAAATTAAACCCGCCATAATCCACTATTGAGATCAGCACTTGGTCGTTCACGCCGACGGCAGTGAGCGCGTTCTTCTCCTGTGTCTGAAAGGTGGTGCACCCTACCGATTCGAGTAGCTTTACATCTCCATACACGCCGTTGCCGTGGAAGAAGATCTGGTAGATGAAGCCGTTCGGAGCTGTCGTGGCATCACGCGTTCGTGTCACAAAGACCTTGTCGATGTTGTCCATGGCTTCCAGCGCTGCGTCCATGATGCTAGCCGATGCGTCGAACGGGATGCAGCCGGACGTCTTCTTCGCTCCAAGGTGCTCAAACCGCAGACTGTACGACCCCGTCACCAATGGCTTGCTAGCCTTAACGATAACATGCTGGACGGCAGTATCCGTCCCCATTGCAATGTCCGTATCCATCGTCACAACACAGCTAGACGGCACGCTACCAGTCGTTGTAAATCCGACGTCTCCACACGTCATCTGCGAGGTCTCTCCAGCGACATTGTTGCCAACAAAGGTGACCTGGAAGACGTATCCATAGTCGAACTCCTCCGAGGCATCACCATCGCGCGTAACCACGATGTCACTAGCAGTAACGGCGCTGTTAGTCACTGCCACCAAAGCTGCCTTAACCTCATCGGCGTCAGCGTCCCAATCAATGGCAGCAGTCTTAGCGCCAACGGTTTTGAACGACCCAGCATTGTTCGGGTCCGCGATCTGTCTCGTAAACAATAACGTGAAGGTTCCTCCCGTGATCGCTGCCTGGGCCGAGATCGTCACCGTCTGAATCGTGGGTACGCGGAATGCGAAGGATCCTTTGATACAGGAGCCACTTGCGCACTGAGCCGGAGACGCGTAGGTCCGCAGCGTTTGAACCTCGGCGATACTCGCTGCCTCCGTTGTGATCTCCTGGATCTCCATGACGTGAGTGGCTGCCAGTCTCACCTCCTGCACTTCACGCTCGAATAGCGCGTACCCTGCTGCGATGTTCTGTACTGCAGACGCTGTACTGCTTGGCATAATGGAGCCAGAGGCTGTGAATGGGCCAGTGCCGATGTCCGTCATGGCTGCAACGTGGACATAGTAGTTGATTCCAGCCAGAAGGTTCGTAATAACGTACGAGTTGGACGCAGAGCCTGGGATAAAGTCGTCCGTGATCGCCATAGTCCCTCCTGTCAGTGCTTTCGTCTGCTTCCCAAGCTTTGGAATGTTCCCAAGCGACGACTTGAACTTGATCGTCCATAGAAACCCGTTCACTTTGAACACATCGAGACTCGTAGCGCTGGAGAGGTAGCTCGACCCCACGCTGGGGTTGTCAGGCAGTGCCAGTGGGATGGAGTTGGCGGTGAACGGCGGCACACCATCGATCCCATCACGGATAAGTGACACCTGTATGTTGCTGGCGACGAGATTCGACAGCGTTCCTGTGGTCAGAGGCTGCAGGTTCCCAGCGACAGAAGCTCCGCTGAAGTAAATCGTGTACACATAGCCCTGAGGCGCCAGGGTCGCGTCTTGCCGTCTAGTCACAGTGATATCACCTGCCGTCACTCCACTCACAGTCAACGCCGCCTCCAGCGCACTCTCAGACGCGTCCCAGGGGATTGTTCCAGTCACCTGGTTCAATAGCGAGAGGCTGTACGACGCTGCTGCGTTGGTTGGGTTCGTCACGATCAGCTGCTGGACTTCGAACTGCTCGCTCATGACGCTAAACTGTTGCGAGATGCTGTACGCAATGTGCGGTACTCCGGGGGCTTCTCCGTTGTAGAAACTTGTAAGCGCAAACCCACCGGAGTTGGTCCCTCCTTGGGTATCCATCGTTACCGCAGCTTTCGTCGTCGGGCCAGCGTTAAGACAGTTCGCATCAGCTTCTTGGACGGTTAAGAGCGGCACGTTACCCGTCACCAAGTCCCCCACGAAGGTGATACGATGGATGTATCCATTCAGCGCCACCTTAACGTCGATATCTCTCGTCACTGCGACACCGCCTGTTCCAACGTTTGTCAACGCATTCAGCGCGTCCTGCACTGCTGAAGCCGCGGCACTGAACGACAAGCAAGCTGTCCTCTGTCCCAAGAATGAAAGTTGAAATCTCCCAGCAGCATTTTTGTTGTAGATCGTCAAAATCTGGATCTCGCTGCTGCCTCCAAAGTCGATCATTTCCATCGAGGCGCGTCGCACACTTCCTCCGTTGTGGACCCAACCGGTCGTACACGCAGATCCTTGGCCTTCATGCTGCAGCCAGAGCAGCGGCACCGTCGCAGTCGCTGTGTAGTCCATGAAGAAGATATCGTACGTGTATCCAGCTGAGCCTTGGCGCACCGTCTCCATAATCAACGCTGGGTGGCCACCGATCGCAGTGGATGAACACGGACTCTGCCCCACATTTACGATCTCAAGTAGGGGGACGTTGCCAACCACGGGGCTGTACCCTCCACCCACGGGGCCTCTGAAGTTGATCAAGTACTCGTAGCCAAAGCCCCACGTCGACGAGCCGTCTCCATCGCGCGTTACGTTGATGTGATCCACTGCGCTGTTCAAATTGCTCAAAGCATTGAGCTCCTTCTGTAAATTCGCTGCTGAAACTCCATAACTGATGCAGCTCGTAGCTGCACTTTGGCCTTGGAGCGTGAACTGCAGCTGGAAGAGGCCCGTAGTATCGGACGTGACCTCTGCGTCCGCTGTCATGCGAAGACGCTGGAGCTCCGTTTGTGATACGCCTCCTCCACGCCGTGTTACGATCACTTGGCCGGTGCTGAGCTTGGTCTCAAGCGCATTCTCCACATCGCTCGCAGCTGCTCCCCACAATAAACAGTCCGTCTCCTTCCCGTTCAGAGACATCTTGTAGTACCCGTTGGTGTCGATAACCTGCCCCGAGTCTGTAGCTAGAGACAAACGCTGGTGGGGCAGATTCCCACCTTGTGTGTCGACTGCAACGGTAACACTACTGCCAGCGACTCCAGTGCAAGAAACTCCCCCTGTCGTCTTCGAGGACGTTTGTAGTGTTGCTACATCACCAGTCAATGCGTCGCCGAAATAGTAGACAGTATACACGTAACCCGTCGTTGTCGCTGTAGTCACAACACTTGAGCGGGACACCAACACGTCTCCATCGTTAGCGTTTATCAGCGTCAGCAGTGCGGCTTGAAGATCCACCGCTGCTTCATTCGCAGGGAAACACGCTGTCGGGCCGTAAGTCGCTCCTGCTCTGGAGAACGTCAGAGAGTAGTAGTCAGTCCCTTGTTTTGCACTCCAAGAGCTCGTAGGAAGAGCGGTCGTGATCGTCTGAATTTCGTGGCCCGAGCGCTGGACTTCGTACGCCAGACCGTCAATGCGCAGCTGCATGCCAGGATACAGCAGCTTCGTGGACACAGGTGTTTCAGCTATGACAACGGGGGACAAAGCATCCACCGTCACAGATGACGTTGTACTGGCCGTGGTGAATGGAGCGTCTCCGTTGGACCCCGCGAGGTTGTCAGGCGACGAAGAGCCGAATCGGATGACGTCAGTGGGGGAGATCAACTGCCGGATATCGTCAACACCCGTGATTGTTGCACTAGCGCCGTCTCGAGCAATGCTGGCAGCCACTCCGGGGATCTTCTGGGTTAGTAAGTACCCTTGTGTCACATCCACTTCGCCAAATAAATCCATCGCCTCAATCCCCTGTTTAACCGCTGCAGCTGTAGAGGAATACAGAAGCGACGGGGTCTGGGCAGTCGACGTGCTGAGCATGAAGGTCCCTAGAATCGGCGACGAGCCGGCCGTGTTCGTGTACACTTCGACCGATCGGCCATTGCCATTCAAGGAGGTTAAATAATCCACCGAGAACTCGTCCAGGTTGCCGCTACCGGGCGGGAATGTGACACCTTCGTACTCTCCGGTCACCCGCAAAAACCGAATCCTCCACCGATATCCTCCTCGAGTCCCTGGGTTTTCAACAGGTTGGTTGTCCCATCCACCGGAGCATAGCGAGTCGGTGCACCCCGTGTCGACCGAAGGGTATTCGTATCGCTCTACGGTGACTCTGCCAATTGTATCCATCTCGTTGAGCTTCCGTTCCAGACGCGTCGGGTCCTCGTTAAAAGCCATCTCACGCGGACCAAAGGACGAGTGGAAGTCCAAGAAGAACGATCCACTCAGTCCGTCTGATCCGCGCGTAACTTCGGTCACGCCGATGGGATTGCTGTTTAACGCTGTCTCGGGGAGGAAAGTTGCGGCGATAGGCGGTAAATTACCGGCACCTAGCGGTGTATAGGTCGGGTTGGAGATGAAGTGGACCAGCCACGACATCTCGCCGTACTTGCCGTGCACCGTCTTTTGGACACTCACTTTCCTCCCCGAGTTGGTCGCTGCGGCCTCCAGCACTCGCTTCACTAAGCCCCCTTCTGCATTCCACGGGATGATGATCGACAGCCCCAGCGGCGTCGCAGTGTTGCCGGAATTCAACGCAGCGCAGTCCAAAGACTTGACATTAATATTGGGTGGCGTCACATCCACGACCTCGAACACGCAGCTCGTGAACGCCCCCACTATGAAGCGGTCTTGTGGCAGAAGGTTTGTTTGGATGGTGCTAGCTCCAGAGTTGATCGTGAAGGTCGTCACTGTACACGAACCCGCAGTATTCGTACAGCTGACGCTGACTGTGTACCGCTGAGCGACACCAGCGTCTCCCTGCACTTTGAAGTCCGTGAAATCGCCTCGTAGAATAGCCCCCGCCTGCGTTGTAGAGACCGTAGCGTGTGGAGTTGATCCCTTCAGTAGCGTCTCAACCGTAGTCATTTGGGGGACGTTCCCAGGCGAGTTGCAGAGCTGCGTGCCGTCCACCAACGTCTCGAGCTGCTCGCAGGGGTGAGTGGGGTCGCTAGCGTCCCTCAAGAAGGTCACTGTCCACGCGTAGCCGCCGTTGGTTGGGTCCACCAGGCTTCTGGAGACGTCGACGTCCCCCACATTGGGCATCCTCTCCAGGATTTCTTCCACTGACGTCCCTGAATTCCCGCTCTCTTCCTTTGTCGCCCACGCGTTATGTGCGATCGGATCACTCGTCTCCGAGGACTGCACCGCCAAATGACTGGAAAGTCTCGTGTCCAAAGTGACGGCAAACGTCCCAGCGAGAGGCCCCACGCCCGTAGTAACTACATCCGTATCGCAGACTTGAGTCCCATCGTTGGTCGTCGTGATCAAGCTGCTCTTGTCGCACTGGATCAAGGACGGATGGCCGACCTGACGGCCCCACGCTTTGGAGTATCCCGTCTCCCACACGGCGTCCCAAGCCGCCGCCGCTCCTTTCCAGTTACCATCGATACCAGCCGAGTGATCGATCGTTGGGTCGGCCCACACGGAAGAACGGAACGTGATGAACCACGTATACCCGAGCACTTGGTCGGACGTTGGCGGACCACGTGATACCTTGACGCTGCTGGGTTTAATCGAGCGTAAACTATTGAGCTGAGCTTCTATCGCCGATGCGTCTGCCCCCGCCAGGATGGGTCCGGTCGTCTCCCCATTAAAGACGAGCTGAAAGGCTCCGGCGAGCTCATTGCCTTTCAGTACCTCGTCCACATACGTCCGCCCGTTGTTACTCCCTGTAGTGGACGTAAGCTGCGTCGCTAGCACAAGACTGCCCACATCACCCCCGGTGCTGTCGTCGATAAACGTAATGGTCCAGGTAAACCCCAGTGCCTGAGATGCTGCCGAGCGCATGATCGTGATCGTCGGGATCTTGAGGTCGTTGATGAAGAAGTTCTCAAAGTTAGCATCCTCTATACTTTGGTCCAGTGTAGCCAGCGAAGTGTCCACTCCGAGCGTGCACGTAGCGGTTATCCCTCCAAACGTAATGTCCAAGGTGCCCCCTATCTGGTTTCCATTTCTACAAGCCACGCCCGGATTCGACAGCGGACTCGCTGCATCGCCGACCGTCATTTGGGGCGTGTAAATGTTGTCGTCCGAGCTCCTGAGGCCCGTAGCGTCCACTTTAATCGTTGGGAGATCCCAGGGTCGACTGGTGAACGTAATCTGCCACGAGAACCCTCCCGACCACTTGTTGCCCGTGGGATTGTACACGCTTCGCGTGACTTCTACCTTCCCAAAGACAACTTTACCCACGCGTGTGTCCACAGCTTCCAGCGCGGCTTTCATTGTCGATTCACTGGCATCCCAAGGGATGTCAGCACTGTATACAGCGAGCGTGGAAGTATACGCAGCGTTCGGGCTGCTCAAATCCGTGGCGTCTTGACTGAGCAACCCCACTTTGAATGCCCCCGTGAGCATACTACCGATAGAGCTCCGAGTCACCACGCAATACACCGCCGTACCGAGTTGCAGAGGGGTAATGCCCGACGCGTCGCACTCCAGCAACGGGATTTTACCTGACCGCTTCGTGAACATCACGGAGTAAATCGCCCCGACGAAAGCGGAAGTGACAGCAAAGTCCCTCTGGACTGTCACCGTATCAATGACGGGAGCGAGGTAGGTCTGGATGTCCCCGCCATCCGCCGTCGCAGCTGCCGCCAGCTTGATCGGAATGCTGGACGCTGTCCGCTGAGGCGCCTTATAAAGCGACAACGCTGCACCGGTAAAGGTACTGCACAGCGCGCCCGGGTCGTCCGTAGTAATTCCAATCGCCGTCGTTGTAGTAAACGCTACCGAATCGGCTTCAAACGAGCAAGCGCCGGCAACTAAGTTCGTTCCTTGGGTGACTAGAGCGCTCACATCGCCCGATACGGTGAAAGTCGAGCCGTCAAAGTCCGTCACGCAGGCATCGCACACCTTGTCGGTCGGGGTGCACGCGGTGCTATACGACGACGCCATGTTCGGGTTTGAATAGGCTTCGCACGTGTATGTGACGGAGATCAGAGAGTACGTGGGTGGCACGGTGGCGTCAAAACTCGGCTCGTTTCCCTGAACTTCTTGATGAATGACGGGCGTGATCGTGTTGCCGTTAAATGTGATCGTGCCTCCCGCGGATAGCAGCGGCACGTCTCCTCCGACATCATTACCAGAGAATGTAACCAAGTAGATGTACGTCAGATCATCACCGGTGTTACTTCCCGACGTGACGCTGCTCCGACTGACGGTCACCGAGTCAATATTGTCCATCTTAATCAGTTCGGTCTCGATAGTCCCTGCTGCAATAACCTTGTCCGATTCTTGCAAGGACAACAGGAGGTCGCCCGTATCCGCGCTGTGCTTCTTGGTCGGCAGGCAATACGTACAGATCGTGCTGTCAAAGGTAAGGTGGAATGTCCCCGTGACCGAGGCCATATTTCCCACTCCCCCTGTGAACGCTAGCGTGATGCTCTGGACCTCACTCACGCGCTCAACGCCGACTTTAATGTCCTGTACTTCAAACCCTTCCGTGACCGTAGTCCGGATCGCCTGAATCTCGTCAATATCGTCGTCATCGAGCCGCAATTCCTGTATCTCATTGCCATCTTTGGCGGACGTCACGACCTTCTGGACTTCGTCCACCACTGCGTTGTTCATCGTGGTGATCACTTGAATCTCGTCCACACCGGTAAACGTGCTGCGAACCTCCTGCTCCTCGTTCACGACTTCCACCGTCACGTCCACGAACTGCTCTTCATTCACGACGTCGCTCTGGAGAGTCACGCTCTGCATCTCACGAACAATCGGAATCGTGACGCTGGAGCTCTGTCCGCCGGAGAAATCCTCCTGTTCGTCCCACTCAACCAGGTACGACTTCAGACTCGAACCACCGTCGAACAGAGGATTCGTCCAGCCTGCCTTCACTGACGTGGCTGAGATGACACTGAGAGTAAGGTTTTGTGGGGCGCTTGGGGGCTGATTCGTGACCACGACCGACGACGGAGCTGTGGGCTGCGGAGCCCCAGACCCTTTGGCGTTGAAGGCTGTGATTCGGATGCTGTATGAAGACCCGGCAACGAGGATGTCCGACCGGACACCGGTGATAGCGTCATCGCCTCCGATGATGAACGAGCGCTTCTTCCCGTCCACGAGGCCGAACTCAGCAGGCGAGTCGAAGGCTGGAGAGGTGTCCCATTCGATCATGTACTGCGTAATGGAGAGGCCGCCGTCTCCGCCGTAATAGTACTCGTCGATTGATGACGCATTCCACTCCACCAAGATAGCGTAGCTCGAGAGGACGGTCGCCGTGGCGTCTTCGACTTTCCCTGGGGCGCGATCTACTGGTCTCGCATATTTTGGAGTAGGAAGCGCGTACGGACCATCTCCCTGGTCGTTCAAAGCGAGCACCCGAACGTAGTAAGTCGTCACGACTGGAGCGAAAATGTTGTAGAAGTATGGCCCCGTATCGGTAGAAGAAACGCTAACCATGGTTTGGTAGTCGTAGTTGGGGGTATTCACGTTGGGAAAGGTCCCTGCAGTGTCCCATTGGATTCTGTAGCCCAAGATGGCCGTTCCGCCATCGCTTGAGGGCGTGCTCCAGCGTAGCTTCAAGTATTTACTGGATAGCACCAGCAGCTCGACGTTTTGAGGGGTGGAAGGCGTTGCCCGCGGGATTTGAAAGACCGAGCTGATACCCGCCGCGTAGCCATAGCCCTCACCGTTGTGCGCGCGCACTCGGATGGCGTACTTCTGCCCTGTCTTCAAACTTCCGATGACATACCGCAACTTCCCTGGCATTGCAACCTCAGCAGGGACCCCAGCAGCTCCATTCTGCTCGCAGTACGTAGCTGGTTGAATTCCAGCCAACGTCCTCGCGGCGAGGATTCGCGCTCCAGGGCCTTGCAACGCTGTCCCATCGACGCTTGGTAGCGACACATCGTTCTTAACCTCCGACAAGAACGTGACCACCCAGTTGTATCCATATCCGTTTGCAGATCTGGTGACGTTCACAGACCCAATGGTGACCAAGCCTTCAAGTGCAGTCTGTAACTCACCTGCTGAGATATTATGGGGCAAAGGTGGCGTAGTGTCTGAAATTCCCGCGCTGGCAAAGGCGACGCGAAACGTTCCGCTGATGGGCTGAAGGCCCTTTTGAATGGAGTCGACGAGAATACCGGGGTTGTTGCCCGTCCAGCTATCGCTCGGAGACACTTGGATCAGTTCCTGGGGTCCAACGTGGCCTGCCAAGAACGTGATCTTCCACTCGTAACCAAACGCGCTCTTGAAGACCGGCACGGGAACCGTGATATCGAGGGCAGTGTTGATGCTGAAAGTGGTGGGCGTTAGAAGGGCAGCAACCGAGCGCTGGTTCCCCGCAATCCAGATTTTGTCGTTCACTGCTAGGTTACTGTAAGCGACGGAAGATGTGACGGTCGTCCCTGCAGATGTCACGAGAAACCCGCTGACGACTCGGGTCGACTCTTGCTTTGAAACATCCACTGTGCCAACTGTCGACAACCGCTCCAAGCGCTCCTTGACCGAGCTCAGGCCTATCGCCTCAGCATCCCACCGCAGATTTTCTGTCACTTCCCCGCCAAAAGTCAACCTGAAGTATCCACTCAAGGTGCGTGAGTCAGCAAAGTTGACCAACCGCTGGATCTCGGGTAGACCCTTTCCAGCGGACGTCGTAATGGTCTGCTGCTCCTGAGTTCCTTCCGCGCGATACCACTCAACCTTGTACTTGTCCACACTGCACGAATCGCCATTCACCGCACTCGCACTCCAGTCAACTTGTAGCGTGGTTCCGTCCACGACGCTGGCGGTGACGGACTGCGGAGCTGGCGGCTGACTGCACGTCACGGCGCTGGCAAGTGGCGACGTCGCGGACCCGAAGCCATCTTCATTGTACGCCATCACGTGCGCGTAGTACTTCACGCCTGGTCGAAGGCCCGTGAGCGAGAACCGGAAAGGGTCGGACCCTATGATCTTATTGGCGACGCGAACCACGGCGTTCGTCCCCGTCAGCTGCGGGTTTGTCACCGTCATGGTGAATATGTTGCCAGCACCAACCATCTCCTCGCCTCGGAGATACGCGAACGTAACAGACCAAATGGCGGTGTTGATCGCCGCGTTGCGTATCGCCTTTGTGACCTTGATGGAGTACGTCGTGGTCGTCGCTTGCAGCGCCGCCTGCATCTCCAGAGCCGACGCGCCTACTAGGATCTTCCCCGTCGTCTTGCCGTTGAATGTCAGTGCAAATGACCCGTCCACCTCTGACACGCCATCCGTGAAAACCTCCTGGACTTCGTGCGTAAAATCCCCAATGGCTAGGTCATTGAAGCCCTGAACAACCTCAGTAACCTGAATTCGGGGGAAATCGCCTGTCAGCTGCCTCCCATCAGCGACAAGCGGAGCCAAGTCGCCTGGGTTGTGCAGGAAGGTGATCTTCCAGGCGAATCCCCACGACACTTGCGCTCGAGTGACTTTCACTGGGTCAATTGGGACATCCGTAGTGCCCGTAGTGATAGTCAGGGCTTTGACCATATCCGCTGCAGTACAGTCGAACGGTAAGGGGGTGGTCGTGTGGCCACCCCACGAAAGGGTGAACGTTCCCCCTGCGCCCACCGAGCTGCGATAAATTGTCGTCACTTGCTGCACTTCGAACTTCTTCTGGATGCTCGCCACGCCGTAGTCAACACTGGAGCTGTCAAAATTCTGAGAGGAATCCCATTCAATCCGATACATGGACACTTCAGCTCCTCCCGAATACAGTGGGGCCCAATAGTTGATCGACAGCCACGTAGGTCCGTGAAATTCGCCAAGAGAAACGCCAGTTGGTGGGGTGGGGACTACCGAACTCGTCGCCGTCTGAGCCTGGAATACCGATACCGAGTCGCTGAAGCCCTTGGAGTTCGCTGCAAATACGCGGAATGCGTAGTTCTGACTGCTTTCGAGGATTAAATTGTCCTGCTTGGTCACAGCGACGGCGTCATTGCCTCGAACGTACGCCTTCAAGTTGGTACTGGCGGGATCGGGCGTGACCACGAGCAGAGGCAACTTTTTCATCGGGTACGTTCCCCAGAACGAAACAGTGTGGACGACGGAGCCCGCGCTGAGCACTGATGCAACACTGACGCCGTCCACACTATCGAGACTCTCGAGTGCCGTCTTCAGGTCGTTATCGATGGTCGTCCATGGAATATTTTTTGGATTGGTGGTCCCTGTGTCCACGACTGTCTCGCTCGCAAAGCTCAGAGTGTATGTTGTTGCAATCCCGACATTAGTGACTTCCAGGTGAATTGTCTGCACGGCAGCGGGGTTCCCCACGTTGATCACATTCGGAGACATGGCTTTCGGACTGCGCGTACCAATGCGGGCGTCGGTGCCGCGCCAGTCGTGGCCTGGAATGGCGTCAACAGTGTCGAGACTTCCATCGTAAGACCGGAAGACGAGGTTCCACTTTCGTCCGTAAGAAACGTGGTAGGCTTGCAACCTCGTAATGGGCGTCGAGATAGTCCCTGTCACCTGCAGATATCTCTGCGTTACCGCGTCAACTCTGTACTTGGTCATGTCTGCCGATACAGAGGGGAGCCACAGGTCTTCACCAGCAGCTATTAAGTTCCTCAGGTCCTCCGTCGTCTGCAGTCTGTTGTCGAAAAGATACACTGCTGGGCTGCCACTAACGACAGTCTCACCTGGGTATGCCAAGTCGGTGGTGACGACACTCGCTCCAGACAACCCCGTGACTGTGAACATTGTTCCAGCAATGAAGAATGGGTTACCCACGATAAATCCATGGTCTGCAGGCAGCTGAAACGTGTTCAGACCGTTCGTCGCCGCAACAACTCGCATGAGAGGCGAGATGCCGACGAACCCAGGCAACGGCTTCGTCTGTTTCGTGATCAAGCCGGCGGACACGTCGTAGTTCTGAATCAGTGTCGTGCCAGGGAATGGGTCAGTCAGGGTGATATCCACGGGCGTCATGGACTGAATGGTGTTCGCGGGGTTCGCGCCGATCACTAGCGTCTCGCCAATAGCTAGAAATCGGGTGGGGTCGATGGACATCCCACCAACTTTGAGCTTAATGTTGGACAGCGTTCGGCTGCCTCCCGTAGCGTCAGCAGTGAGAAGTAGCGAGTAATCCCCAATGTCTCCTGCACTCGCGTCACCAAGCGCCACCACCGAGTCCACGACACTGAGCTTCTGCAGCTCCTGGGTGACCTTCATGTGCGTTGCCGAGAACCCAATCGGCTCGGTCACTTCACCGTTAAACGTTATCCAGAACGAGCCGCTAATGTCGTTCTGATTGGCGTCTGTAAACACTGTGACAGTGGGGTAGACGCTGATCAGCGCGCTCTGGCCGGTCAGACGCGAGTGCTGGATGAAGATGGCGTCTTGCTCTTCGTCTTGCGACTGCACGAACGTCACGTGCCACGCCTTCCCGTAGGTGCCATACCGACTCACGCTCACGTTGACGGTCCCCGGCGCAGTGATGGAGTCGATCGCATCGCGCATCTCAGCCGCTCCTGTTGTTTGGAACGGCAGCGATGGCGTCACTTCTCCCATGTACGACAGTGTGAATGTCCCGCCGATGGCACTCGAGGCGTCTGCGAGGATCGTCTGAATCCCATCTTGGCCTTTCGAGCACGCGCCCTCATACTTGACAGTATGGACTTGGCCGTACACCGGTTGATTTGGCACAGTCGGTGCCCACGCCGCACAACCGCCGGCGCCGGTTCCGAATGTTGCCGAGTCAAACTGCAGCGTCGGCCACTCGCTGGTCGGATAGTGCCCCCAGAAGCGCACCTCGTAGTCGTAAAAGTCCAAGATCTTCAAACTCCGGGCCTCGCCTGTAAAGCTGGTACAGGTCCCAGACCCAGAGGGGGTAACGGAGATGGTTTTAGCTCCGATGGCCGGGGTCGTGTTGATAACAAACCTGCACGAGTGCCGTGAAAAGTCGTTGGGGTTCCGGCTCACTTGGATGACGGTGTTTCGGAGCAGAACAGCGACTTGGCCAGCAGTAAGACCTCCATTTGATGTTACTGTAGTATCTGTACTAACAACAGTAATCGTGGTGAGCGTACTGTCGTAGGCGGTAACTTTGGACGTGGAGGTCCCAGTCAATACGGACACCTTGAATGCTAGCACCTCCTCCACCGTCACTTTGGACACGAAGTCGAGAGCTTCCAGCATCGCCTTCATATTAGTCGGCGTGCCTTGCTTGCCCAAGGTGACGCAGCCAGTTGTCTCACTCCCCAGTTTGAGCTTGAAACTACCGGCCGTAGCGGTTGTAGGGCCAAAGAGCAGTAATACTTGAACTGACGAAGGTGCTCCGACAACGTACGTATCGCACACGCGCTCGTCGTTGTTGATCTCGAAGTAGCCGTAGTGGGTAGCGGGGACAGCAGCTGGGCCAGCAGTGATCCCAGTCGTTAGTGCTGAGCCTGTTTTGACCGAAGTAAGCGAAGAAAGCAGCTGCAGACCGGGGTATTTGCTGTCCACAACGTCTCCAACGACATTGTCGAACGAGATTGTCCACACGTACCCATACGGACCATGCGCGTTACCCGAATCGTCCAACCTGAGTGCAGCCTTCGGCTGGATGGCTGCGTTGAAGCTCGGTACTCTGCTTCCAGGCTCCAAGTTGACACTTGTGCTGCCCGCCGTCGGCTGTATTCGAACTGTAAAGCGAGCCCCTTCAACATCAATGGCTGCCCCTTTAACCAACAGTTTGCTCTGCGTGGCTGTCAAGACCGTCGTAGTGAGAACGTTGGCGTTGGAATCAAACGAGATCACGCCATTAGTCACCCCTCCCGTAAGCACATACACCGCGCGCGTGACTGAAACTGGCCGCAGGCATGGGAGGCTATTCAAGGCAGTCTCCAGAGCGCTAGCTGTCGTGTCCACTGATAACATCGACGTAACATCGTCTCCATACTGCAACCGAAAAGTCCCAGCAGCGTCGTCTTCGCGAGAATTAAACACATAAACCTTCTTGGTCGCTGGAGTTCCAAACGTGTCACCGACCGCGTACTCAAACAAATACTTCGACACGGGATCGCCATGATCCACTGGGCTGGAGAGACGAAGCTCCATCTGCGAGCCTGACAACGGCCATATTCCATTCACGCCCGGTGCATCCGGAGAGGTTGCCACGGAAGTGAGGAGCGGCAAGGCGCCTCGCCCGCTCTGCTGCAAGTCCGTTGTGCTCGCGCCGTATCCGTTCTCGTTGCGGGCGTATGCGCGCACATAGTAATCTTCACCTGGAACCAGTCCATCAATTATCGTTTCCAGAGACACATCCACGCCTTTCACGACCTCCTGCACCACGACATCCGCCCCTGTGCCTTTCAGCAGCTGCGTGTTGCCCACAACGAACAGAGGCAAGTCCCCCATATTCGACAGAAAGGTGACAGTCCACGTCACGCCGAAGTTTGAATTGTCCGCCCTGGTCACGTTCAGCCGCCCAACCGTAGGCAGACTCTGGAGCTTGGCCCGGACGTCGGCTGCGGTGTCGTCAAAGTTGATCACTGCGCCGCTAGCTCCTTGGAAACTGAGTGGGAACGAGCCGCTGATGTCATCGGCACTTGCTGTCGTGGAGATCGACTGCACTTCAGGCACCGCTCCGCCAACTTCTTGTGAGGCGACGATCGCACTGTCCGCGTAGTCCCCGTCGATCGCTCGTAAGGTAGTGACCCGCGTATCATCTTTCACGATCGACGCTGTCACTGAGCACGTAGCGCAGGTGTCGCCATACACGTCCACAAAGTTTGTAGTACCCGTCTTCATATCGACACGAAGGCATGGTGACGTCGGGCAGGTGCTGTCCAGCGACTGGAACGTGACGTGCCATCGATATCCATTCGAAAGTGAGGGCCCAACACGCGAGACGTCGATGGCCCCAACTCCAGGCAACGCGCTCAACGCGCGCTTCATCTCTGCGGCCTCCGCGCTCACACTCAACGTCGCCTTCTTGCGTACATACGCCGTCACGTGCAAATTGGACGCGTCAGGCCACGCGCTCGACAGCGTTATTGTGCCAGCTACAACGATCGCGACCGCAACGTCCCTGTCGCCTATTCGAATCTGCTCTCCACCCGCAATTCGACTGCTGAAGTCGCCAGAGGTGATCACGGACCTTGATCCCCCCGTGACCTGAACGTTGCCCAGCGCCGTGTCCATGACCTGAATCGGAGCTCCACTGGCGCCGCGCACGTGGTACGAATCCAGCGGCAGCGTGGTGTCTGTGAAGGGCGCGGTGGCGTGCACCCTGAACTCCTCTCCGCCGATGCGCACGCGGTCTCCTCGATTCACGCGCCCGAGCATCGACGCGCTCGTCGTCGCCGTTCTCGAGCCTGCGGTCACCGTGGCCGTCACCGCGGGGGTGGCCGCCACCCAGACGCCTTCGAAGCCCACCGACAAGTCGAACGTGCCCCCCAGCACCTGCGCGTTGGCCGCGTCGGTCGACACGATCTCCCACACCTCCGGGTAGAATCCGGAGACGCCCGGCGTGACGCGCGCGCCCTCGAACGACAGCGCGCGGTTGGGCGGCTGCACGTCCTGGCACGCGCTCGCGTCCCCCACGAGCGTGTTGGCCTGCTGCCCGCTCACGAGGTACGCGCCGTCGAACGTGACGGTGTAGACGAAGCCGTTCTTGGCCGCGCTGTAGGGCGAGCGCGAGACGCCGACGCTGTCCACGTTGGGCAGCTGCTCCAGCGCCATCTCGAGCTCCACGGCGCTGGCGTTCCACGCCACGCACGACGTCACCTCCGTGCCCAGCGCGTTGGTGAAGGACACGCGGTAGCCGCCGGCCAGCACGGCCCCGTCCGCGGCCACCGTGAACGTCTGCACCTCGTCCACGCGGCGCGCCACCTCCACCTTGTAGCCCAGCACGGGCGCGCCGTTCACGCCCTCGGGCTTGACGAGCAGCGGCGGCAGGAACTGCACGCGCACCGACGAGTCGCTCGCGGGCGACACCAGGATCTTCTCGGGCGGCCCGGGCACGTCCCCGGGCGTGAAGAAGTCGGCGCGCACCGCCACGAACAGCAGCAGGAGTCCGATTGACCGCATCTTGTGTTGCCTTGGTGCCTGCCCAGCTGCGATGCCTGCGTCGTGAGACTTCAAGGATACGCCGACCTGCGGCGACGAAACGGCACGATCTTCGGCGTGGCGCACATGAAATTGAGGCAGGTGGAGGACCATTCTAGGGGCGCAACCTTGCCGTGTCGGCCCGACATTTGTCCAGCTTGGTCCACTTTCCGTGCGTTTGACTATATGATTAGAATTATTATATGACTACGATCCACATATAATAGTAGTTGCAGTAATATGGAATCGTAGTCGAGTAGTAGTGGTAATAGTATAACTAGTTATAGTTAGTAGTACCACTCGTTATAGTATCAATAGTACTAATATTACCATCATATATATATCACTACTATTATTATCATTATTATTAGTAATACCGTATCACTTACCAAATTTCTCACTGCTACCAAACTATTAACCGCGTTTCAGCGACCGGGAGCACCATGGCCTTATCGCTGTTGAAGAAGATGCGAGCGCGGGTTCCTAGGTTCCTGATCTTGCGACGCAATGATTATTTGGCTGAAGTAGCTGTTCTTTCGCCTTCATAGTCGCATTAACAGGCAGAGGACCTAGATAGAAGAAACGCAACAACGCATGATCTAAGTAAGTCTGTGAACAGCACAGCCACACTGCTAGACATACCTTCGGCGTAATGGCGATGCGGACCGGACGCTAGGTTAGTAGCATCACACAGTAGGGTTCTTGGCAGCACGGAGTTTAAGACTGTGATGGTCGGTGCTTTCTTGTAGTCCGTGACGGTGACTTTAATGACGCGGTGGTGACTTTCGATTGGCTGCTGGGTTGGAAGGAAGCCAGGAACAGGGGAGCTATTGACACTCCAGCGCTCCCATCGCGGAGTGAAATACACGCTTTGAAGCCAGTTGGCGAGCTCGATTTCTCCTTCGTCTCGCCACGACTTAACGACTCGTTTTGCCAGGGCTCTAAACTGCTTCAACGACCGCGTTAGATGAAGTTGTCGAATCTGCAGCTCCGCAGTGTTCTTAAGAAAACCCTTGGTTTTCTCCAATTTCGTCTGCTTGCGCACTTGCCGCAGCAGGTGCTCCCAACAAGTAAGAATTACTGCGTGGGGCCACACCGCCTCCACCGCAGACGCAATGGCGTCTGAATGACCCATACTGGCACTGCATACTCGCACTTGAACGTCCAAAAAGACTTCAGCATATTGTACAAGCGCCCGAAACATGCGCTCGTACGCAAAAGCACTCTCTGTCCTCACGAACATATAGAGCCAAGGACGAAAGCGCTGCACGTAGTCCGTGCCGGATCGCTCGACAGAAACACCACCACGATCAACCAGTGTCCAACCGCCGAAATGAATTCGGTAAGTCCCATCCGTTGAAAGTACCAGCGTGTCGCCCTGGTCACGGACAGCGTGAGCAACATTACGAAAGACAGCTCGGGAAGTGACAATAATCCCCATGGAGGGCACTGCCTCGCTCGCAACAGTAACTAAATGTTCAAATTCGTCGAGCACGATCAGGGCATTCATGGCTGCTGCGTCAGTTGCATCCACACCAATAAACTCATCTCGACTCTGGCACAGCCGCCCTGCAGCCCAATTCTGGAGAGTTGTAAACTTAGTCATCTCCCATCCATCATCAGCCGTCCGCTTCAAATACGCCTTCTGGTTCTCCATTTTTTTCGTCCCCGGTATAAGAGCCAGCATTGTCGGGTCGCGTAAATACTTGAAGAGCAGCATGTTGCGAACACGACCTGCCGCCATACCGAGCTTGAGAAGAGCGTCAACCTCAGGTTTTAGAACAGGCGATATCCCTTTTGGTGTGAGGTTGACAATGCTGCCGGTGTGCTCACCTTTCTGCAAAACTTGATATTTTTTCCAAAGTTGCCAGCGTTGTGTGAGACCAATTTGATGCAGTGACAGCAGCAATTATGAGAGCGACAAATATATTCCTTGCCGACGCGAAATGTGGAGAGGTACCTCGTCTTGTAAGTGTAGACAAAATTATTCAATCGATGCAGGGCCTGCTCAGCTTCCTCTTCTGTGTCGTACAAGCCGATATGCTGGTACACTGCGACGGTGCACGGAGAAACCAATGTAGTGTCCAGCGGGTTGCCCGGCAGATTGGCTTCCTCGGCGCCATCTTCGTACTCCAAAGACGAATCTGATCCGACGTAGTCTGAGTCCTGGTCATCGTCAAAAACCAATGTAGTTCTATCGATGGTCTGCCCCACCAGCGAGCTTTCTTCAAGCATGTCCTCGTCGTCACCTTTGTCCTCAGCGTCGTCGCCTTCGTCCTCCGCATCGTCGTCTTGGTCCATATCTTCAACCGAGGCGGTGGCACTGTGCATGTCTTCGTCGGCAAGGTCGCTATCATACTCTAACACCTCAGTGCTGTCGCTATCATCGCTCGCAGGTAAGGAGAGCGCCTGCATGGTGCTGGGGATGTGGTGGGTCGCGCACTAGAGCCAGAGTGAGCAGGAAGGAGGAGGAGGGGGGTTGCGAAACCTCGAGAGCGAGAAGGCGTGTGTGCACTCAAAATAGGGAACAGCTCTTCCGCTCTAAAATAGACAACAGAACTTCAGCACTGAAAACTTGCAACAGGTTTTCAGCACTGAGTTTTCTGTTGGATTCAACAGCAACAGATATTCAGACTCGGCAACAGGTGTTCAGCCTGGGCAACAGAAATTCCTACAAAATCTGGGGCAACAGGTGAGTCAATGTCTGAGCAACAGATATTAATATTTTTCCAGCAGCACTTACACTGAGCTAGTGTATTGTGAAAATCATCAACACTGTTGCGGAGTACACTACTATAACTTACTGAAAAGTCAACTGTATCGATTTTTTTCTTAGCTGCTTTCTGCTCGCAATCGTCACGTACATCGTTGTTGTTGTCGGTAGTGGACCCTACTAGGAACGCGCGAACGAACCTGGTTCGAGCCTAATTGTTGGTCCACACAGCACCCACCTGGTCGAGCTCCACGCCCGAGGAGCCATACCAGCCGCCCAGTTGGAAGCCATCGGGAGCGCAGTCCTTTCCTGCCGCGTCTGGCGCCGGGGTACCACCAGCGACCCACCTTCCCGTAGTGGTGGTAACATTGATGAACCTGACGCGCGTACGGCCATGGTACTTGCAGTGCGCCTCCACGCACTTGAAGCGCTCGCCCGAATTCAGCGTGAGCGTTTGCGCTTTACCGCCGTCGCCACGGTGGTACGTAGTTGTCCTTTGTCCTCCGCTGGGTGTGATGTCGATTCCAACTCCGTTCACACGCTCGCCGGTGCGGATCGTGGCGCCATGCACGTGTACTCCGGGGATGACAAGTTGTTCATCCGTGAAAAAGGTGCCGTGGGGCTCGCCATACTGCTTGCCCAGACGATAAGCTTCCCAGTCCTCAGTAGTGTCAATCGCCAATAGCGCGACCATCGCCAGGACTTGGGAGAAGAACTTCATCGTTGCTGCTTGAGCTTGTTGCTGGTAGGAGGACAAACTGAGAATGAACCGAAGCTGCTCGCCCTCTTCAAACACACGTGTAGAGGCCGCTCCCAGTACGATTAGTCTTGCTCCAAGGTTCTAATCGTCCTGTATCATCGAGTGAATACAGTACACATGTACCAAGTCCAAGAGTCTGGGAAATGGCATTCACTTGATGACACAATACCACAACGTATGCTACATAGCATCGAGCTTCTCTTCGCGGGATGCTGCTGTACAGGTACATGCGATACAGTACACTAGAAAAGAAGATACATCTAGCCTACATGACATGTAGGATCGCTCGATTGGAGGTGTGCCAAAAATGATTAGAGTCACGTTCAATGTTAATTATGCTGAATACAGTAGTACGATATCGTTCGTTTGACAAGCCCATTGTTCTGGGTAGGGGTGGCCGCAATCGCCACTAGCCTCTAAATGACTACGGTGCATACCGGAGCGCACAAGCCAGCTCATCATCCTTATGTGCGTGCACTGTAAAGTAGTATATTCCTGAAATTTCACCTGCGTATCACCGCAGCAACACCCCCATACCTTCCAGACCAGAGCGGAAGAGCAGGAGGTGAGGCTCGGAGGCTTGGACTTCTAAGGCAAGAGTGAAAGTGAGAGAGCCGAGAGAGGAGCAAATGAAGAGCACCAGCGCTGTTAGCTCATGGCTTAGCGCCTGAAACGAACCAACCACTGAATCATGAAACTTTCGGCAGCAACAGGTTCAAACCATGACCCGTCCTAGCTCCATCGGGACAGGCCCAAGCACGACCAAGCGTTACGCTCACTCAGTTGAGCCCACCGATGCAGACCATCTTGGTTTCCTGGTACTCCTGCAGCCCCTTAACCGACCCCTCGCGACCGAGGCCAGACTCCTTGATACCGCCGAACGGAGCCCCAACGTGCGTCACCAGCTCGCTGTTCACGGCCACCATGCCGCACTCCAAGTCGCCGGCCACGCGGAAGATGCGGGCCACGTCTCGAGTGTAGAAGAAGTACCCAGCCAGTCCAGCGGCCGTGTCGTTGGCCTTGGTCACCACCTCCTCCTCGCTCGAGAACTCGAACAGCGGCACCACTGGGCCGAAAATCTCCTCTCGCGACACGCGCATGGCCTCGCTCACGTCGGCCAGCACGTTGGCCTCGTAGAAGTTCTTGCCGAGGTCGCTCCTCTTCCCTCCAAGGAGCACCTTGGCGCCGTGGGCCCCCGCGTCTTCGACCAAGCCGGCCACTTTCTCGACGGCTGAGAGTCCGATCAGCGGGCCCAGCTGCACGCCCTCTTCGAGAGGTAGCCCCATCTTGAGACGCTTCACTCGCGCCACCACCTTGGCAGCGAACGACTCGTAGACGGAAGAGTGGACGAAGACGCGGTTGGTGGCGATGCAGGCCTGGCCCGTGTTGGAGAACTTGCTCTTGATCAGCCCATCCACGGCCTTGTCCAGGTCGGCGTCTTCGAACACAATGAACGCCGCGTTGCCGCCCAGCTCCAGCGACAGACGCTTGAGGGTGCTCGACGACTTGCGCATGAGCCACTTGCCGACTGAAGTCGAGCCCGCAAACGTGAGCTTCCGCACTTCAGGGCTCGACGTGAGCACGCGGCCGATCTCCTCCGACCTCTCTCGAGGGGCAGTCACCACGTTGAGCACTCCAGGGGGGAACCCCACCTCCTCCGCGAGCGTGGCCAAGGCGAGCATCGACAGTGGCGTCTCGCCTGCGGGTTTGACCACGATGGCGCATCCAGCGGCGAGTGCGGGGCCCAGACTCAGACCCAGAATCGCATAGGGGAAGTTCCAAGGCACCACGATACCGCACACACCCACGGGCTCCTTCGTGACGAGAATCTTTTGGCTCGGATCGCTTGGGGGGATCACGAAGCCGCTCGAGCGCACGACCTCGTGGGCGAAGTACTCGAGCACACCGACCACGAACTCGATTTCCCACTTGGCTTCGGCCAGCGGTTTGACAGATCCGATAATCGCCAAGTCCTCGCTGTTAGCGGTGATCGCAGCCGCCCATCGCTTCAGCAGATTTGCCCTGACCTACGTGGCCACGACAAGACTGTGTTAGTCGATCGAGCTGCTGGGATGAGCTGGAATTGTGTCATCCTTACCGGTGGAGTGGTCTTCCTCCATTGGCGCTGAGCCGACACAGCTGCTGCAATCGCATTGCGAGTGTCTTCCGCCCTCATGCTCGCGACTTGAGCGACTTCCAGCTCCGTCGCGGGATCTACCGGTGACGCACAAACGCGAATTAGGAGCACTTCAAGCTAGAAAGGTACCCGGCACAACCACAATACGCACCCTCGACGGTGAAATGTTCGTTGCCAACTGCCTCAACCCACTGGCCGCCGATGAATCCCTGCGCTCGCACGAGGTCAGGGCGCTGCAGCTTGGACAGCAGGGGTTGGAACTGCCGTTGCCCGATGGGGGCCAACCCAGTCATGAGTTGCGCAGTCGGGATACCGGTAGACGTCGTCATCGCTGCACAATCGAGAATTGGGCAACACGAGGGGAGAAATTCTTGCTGCTGACCGGCTCAGCCCCCAGGCGTACTGTCACTTTGGGCAAACGTAAAAGAAATCGGAGATAGGGGCGATGACTAACGCACCAAATGTCTCGTTCAGGGAAAAGATATTGGCAACGGGCACGTATCTGCGATGTAAAGTGGCCCGATTGTCGAGCATTTACACACTTCGCAGCATTTTCACCTTTGGTTCGTCTCCCAGTTCTCGGGCTCGTACACCGGCACGTCGACCGTGGGCAGCGCTGGGTTGCCGAAGGATCATGTCGGCAGCCTTTTCGGCCAGCATGATGGTCGGCGCGTTGAGGTTCCCGCTGACGTTGTTGGGCATGATGGACGCGTCGACCACGCGCAGTCCCTCCAGCCCGTGCACTCTTGCCTGGGAGTCCACGACGGTGTTGGCGTCGCTCTCCAGGCCCACGCATATAAATCTTTTGGAGGGCCCAGTGCGGCATGCGGTTCGTGCTGGATGGGTGGTAGTCCGTGCTGGCGTGTTGTAAACCTATCAAATTATTTAATAGGTAAGTCGTGCTCGACAAGTCGTACATGTTACCTGGCACTCCGGACTGTAACTCGTACGACTTATCGAACACGACTTACCTATAAATCGTACTCAAGTACGATTTGCTGTAAGTCGTGGATGGTCAATCAGCACTACGTAGTGCACATATGCCATCTCCTGCATGATCTAGCACATCCGGTACGGATTGGCACCCTTTTGGCACTTTTAGAAAGTGCCATTTGTTCACTAATTAGGAGGGCAAACTGGATGCAAAGCACAATACATGTATTGTATTGTATTGTATTGCAAGCGCGTTACGCGAGCAGTCTTCTTTACGTTTGGTAGGTCGAACATCCGCATGCGTCGGGTTTCTCTCTCTCGTGCTATCTCTCTGATAGTACTATTATCTACTATCATAGTCGGGGTTCGTCAGGTTAGGACTTTCGTACTTAGTCGGGAAAAAGACCTAATAGGAAGTTTTTAGAAGTCCTAAAGGGATACGATGGCTACATGTGCACTTGAAGGTTGACAAGGGCGAAACCCACTACATGAGTATAATCTCGTACTCAGACCTTCGTAAAAGCCCCCACAGCACTTCTAAACTCCTCCCTTTAGCAAAGCTGGTAGTTCATACTGACTCCTCATCGTCTCAGTCCCCAGTCTATACTATGTAAACCCAGATGTAGTGTATTTGGGGAGTGGTTAGAGCAACCATAAGTATGGTTGCTTTTAGCCGTTCTGAGACATGTATGGTTGCTTTTAGGGATTTCAAAAATTACGAGCGTAATTTAAATGTCTAAATTACCATTAAGCCCTTAGGTACGCAAATCACGCTAAAGTGCGCTTCTGATTAGGTACGACGCCATTAAATGCGCCACCTCACAGCCGCTCATTTTAAGAATCGCGCTGCTGAACGGAGGCCACGTGGGGCACGCACCTCTCGCGAATCAGTCAAGCACCAAACGGCGAGGGGGGGGGGGGGGGGGGGGCGATGGCTCCTGCGGGGGGAGTCATTACAAACGGTAATCAATATGCTCCATGTTGGTGGCAACGAGAGTATCTACGTGCCTCACATTTTGTTTGAATTCTGTCGGTATGTATTGTTTAGGCCGAAAGCTGGGGAACGTAAACGAGGAGCTAAACTACATGTACGCCGCTCTCGGGATTGAAAAAGACGACGACGAAGACGAAGACTTTGTTCTGGATGAGGAGGATGAGGAAGACAACGGCGACGAAGAGGCGGAGGATTGCTACCAAGAGGAGGAAGACGAAGAAGAGATCGATGATGACGAGGAGAGCGATAGCGATGAAGAGGAGGGTGACGACGATGAAGAAGAGGCGAGTGACGATGAACAGGAGGCAGACGACGACGGAGAATCCAGCACAGAAGACGAAGCAGAAGCGGGTAAGACTCGTTTGGATTATTGTTGATACTTATTGAGTTGAACTGATAATGTATTGTGTATTTTTTTTAGTTTGTTTAGAACGCAGGACACGCAAACAGAGCCCCGAGCCGAGAAAGAAAGCCACAGCACGCAAGAAAACACCAGGTATTCTCGTTAAAGTTGCTTTAAGCAAAAAGGTTGCGCTATCATTAATATTGACATTCACTTTGGAATCGATAGATACCGCTCTGGCCAAATGCAAGCTTTCTGCTGAGGATGAAGCCCAATCTTTCGCGAAAAAGCGTAAGGCGGAGCTGCAGCTTCACGAGTCTGTCGACGCTGATTCGGCCCCACGTTTATCCCAGCGGAACAAGCAGTACATACCGCGGAAGCGATCAAGCAAGCACCTTGACGAGTTGCGGGAGATCAACGAGGAGCGCGAAGAAATTATCAACCCCGTTCCGCCCTTTACCCCAGCGATTATCAAGAGTTGGAGCAAGTTCAACGCACACTTGAAAATATACAAGCAGAAGCACCACCTCAAGTTTCGAGTACGAAGCTCGTAGACACGAAATCAGTACAACAGGTATGTGTGACCTCTGTTTGATGAGAAATTTAAGTTATTAACGAAACCCCCTTTCATATGCAGCAATCATCGGGACCAAATCCCTTCACGTTTTAATTGGAGTCACAAGGTCCTCCGCTGTACACACGGTGTTTCGCGAGCGTCGCGCTCCAAGGGACATCGCAATAGAAAAGGCAACTATTGCGGGTGTCCTGCACGCAGGACACCAGCCGTTCAGCGGATGGAAAATGGCAAATTTCGAATTGTCATAAGAAACGAGGTATCTGCCTTTTCGTGTATTTGTTTGCTTTGTTAGTATTTCTCACATGTCGCTGTTGATAATCAGAACTTTACCCACACGCACCCGACCACCCGAACGCAAGCATCGTTGTACCTGACAACAAAGACACTTCCGTTACACGAGCAAGATCTCGAAGATGTTAAGACTTTAACGGATGCTAGTGTTTCTTCCAAGCACATCACGAACTTCCTGAATGAGAGACTCGGTGCGTAGTTTTATATATGATATGCTGAAGTGATACTTACGTTACTGTTCGCGCTTTGTGTGTTTGCTAGGCTGCAAAATAACACCTCAACAGACCCGTAATCTGATCTGCAGTATTATGGGGCACGACGCAGCGGAGGCCCGTTTGAAAGACATGCTGCAAGCTATCCGCTAGTTAGACGGTAGTGACGTCCTTGTTATTCAAGACCAAATGGACGTGACATGCGCTATCGTGATGCAAACAAAGGTGCAGAAGTTGATGCTCGAGCGCTGGGGCGACTCTCTTACGATGGATTTCACTCACGGCACGAACAATTTGGGCTATCACTTGGGTGCGTATGAGCTGTTCGGTATAGCAACTTTATCTTTGTTACGGCAACCTTGCGTAGTTATAGCAATCATATCGATGATATAGCAACCTTATTAACAAAGTGATTTTCTACTGTTGTGTGTTGGATATTTCAGGGAATCTGGTCGTCGGTAGAGGGTTCCCGGTTGTAGACTTCATATGCCTCAACCAACGAGCTCCGATGATGACAACAATCCTGGAGTATTTCCAAGAGAAGAACCCAAGTTGGCGGATGATATCCTCCATCGTGATCGACAAAGATTTCGTTGAGTGGAGGGTGCTGAAAACACTATTTCCTGCTGCGAAAGTTTTACTTTGTCAATTCCATGCCATTTCGTACTGGAAGAAGGTGATGCAGCGGGCCCCATACAAGCTGAAGGTGTCTGAACGCGACGAGTTACTCAACCTGATGATAAAAACGCTGTACAGGTACGCAACAGGTTCTATTTATGATTCTTGTGGTAACGCTAACTTTGGAAAACAAACCATATGCAGCTCCACAGAGACAGGTTACGATTCTAGTTACGGTGCATTGAAGCAATACTGCGAAGACAACAAGAAACAAGCTTTATTCTCGTATTTTGAAAAGAACTGGGATTCGTGTCGAGACATGTGGGCGAACTTTGCTCGCAGCAAATTTTTCACGGCTGGGAATACTACAACGAACAGGATCGAGTCAAACTGGAATCAAGTGAAAATACTGTTGGGGCACAAGACACGAATTGACAAGACTATTGCGGGCTTGGTGCAGCATCAAATCATGATAACTCAGCAGATCGGGTTCGTCATCGCGCGGCACCATTCGACTTCGCCCGTTCCTAAAACCATACCGATGTTTCTCAGGACGGTAGCAACTCGACTGTACCCTGACATCTTCGAGAAAGTGAGAAAAGAGTGGGAACGATTTGTGAACTTCGTGGCAGATGCGACTTGTGAGCGTACAGCGTCGAGTCCTTCACAATGGAAAATTTATTGCGGGAATCAAACCTTTCGCTGTCACGATGTGGAGTGGATGTGTACTTGTCTATTTTATAGCAGTCACCATTTACCATGTCGTCATCTTATGCACTTAGGACGCGAGGGGCATGGCTTCAAACTGCTTCCAGCTATGGCAATTCATGATCGGTGGAGTACGTACTAGACCTTGGAAGTGAAAAACGAATTGACGGCTGCAGCGGAAATGTTACAGCCAATTGTGCAGATGTCCAAGTTAAGATTGCCGAAAGTAAAGTTGCCGAACGACACTGGGGCTGAACCAGAACAACCACTTTATGCTGCGGGGGGTAACGCTTCGCCAACCAAAGCTAGGAAGCAAGTTGCGTACGTACGGCTACGGCGAGGTGAACGGGCAAACCAGGTTGTATTGTCTTCAGCTGAAAAATACGCATACGCAAAAGCGATGCCGGAACCGCTATTGGAACACCTGTCAGATTTGTCTAGTGCAGACTTCTACCAAGAGCTAAGTGCCTGGAAGGAAACGATCGACATAGGGCTCAACCGTGTCAACCCTGCCCCCCAACCGAGTTCTACAGAATCTGCTGAAGATAGCAAGCAAGAAGGAGATGTATCTGAACCTGTCTCAGACTCCATTCTGGACCCCGTGGAGGCAATGGGGACTATGACGCTCATGGACGCATTGGAAAGCAGCCCCATGACCATGAATTATGGTGATTACGAGTCCAACGAAAGTATGTTACCGACACAACGCACTCACCTTTCGCAGTCATCTCCAATTCGACCCCCCCATCGACGAGAAATCTCATGACAGCTGCGGAATGAGTAGCTGTGACAAGGTTTCAAGCTCTACGAAGCCTGACACAGAGTCGCGCGTGCGCCAGGTCGATGTCGTTAGAGTTCCTAAGCCACCAAGCCAAGGAAAGTCAAGGTCAACTCCGAAACAGCTGAGGCAAACTACGATCAGTCTCAAAGCCGACCGTCTTGCTGTTCACAAGTACCCCACTGAACTTGCCGTGACTTTGGATCAGTTCCTGATTTGGGCCAGAAACACCTCAAATCTGATGCGCGTGATGGAGATGCTGTCGAAGTATCCTGTTCAGCTGGAGAATGCCTATCTAAGAGCTCGGAAGATTGATTGTCATTGGGAAATTGTACGACTTGCGGACTACATGCACACATTTGTAATTCCACAAGACCTCGCCCTATCAATGCAGGCAGCAACGACTACTACCCGGAAGGAGAAACAGCCAATTGTACTGGATGAAATTATCTCAAAGTTTACTTCAAGTCGGCTACGCACTGAATTTGTGACGCTCTCCAACAAAGTCCTGATCAGCTTTGACAACATCGTGGGAGGGATCTGTCGTGGATGGCTAAATGATAGCCCTGTGGACTTTTGCTTGGAGACCCTTGCGAGATCGGTGGGGAAGTGCCATTGCTGTCATCACTGACATGGGCTATCGGATGGCCAAGTCTCCCTAAGACAGCACTTGCAGCAACGAATGTTATTATCCACCCCGTTAATCTGCATGCAGACCACTGGGGGTAATTATCCTTCGCCTACGCTACACGGCAAAAACAAGCAAGCTTCGGGTGCATGTTTACATGTACGAGCCGCTCATTGATGATGACTATCACCATGAAATGGAAATCGTGTGGACTGGAATTCCGAAAGACAAAGAAAATGAAGGAAAAGAGGGGCTTCGTGGTTATGTGGAGCGGTGGCACAAGGCTTCTGACCCCCGTGGCCACCTTTTCTTCGATCCGATTGAGTGGATCTGTGCCCCTCAACAACCTGATTTTGCTAGCTGTGGTGTAATGGTAGTAGCCCAAGTCCACAGCTATCTTACGGGGAACTTGCAGATGCAACTTTCTAGGTTTTCCAAGAACGACGTCAAGGTGATGCGATTGAAAATGCTGTGGGTCATCATGTGTTACTCCCAAGAACGTCATCGCTCTGAACGCGACGTCGCTAAAGCTAGCCAGATTCATCAGCAGCTACAGAACCAGCTCTGAGAAACACCACAGTCTGTATTTACCTTTAAATACAGAGTCTATGCTGCATTAGTCTTTCATTTTTCGCACCGCCAGCTCCAGTAGAGCATCGAGGGAAACAGCGTCGTCCTCTGTGGTGAGACCACCTTGGTCGGCCCCTTCATCGCCCAAGACGGCTGCTAACGCATAGCTGTTCTCTTCGCGATCTTCGACGAGGGCTTGGATTTGTAGCTGCGCTGCCAGAAGCTTTTCCAGATGCTCGGTAAGCTCATCCAGCTTCTTCTTGAGGAGTGCAATCTCGGCGATTCTCGCGCGCACCAGCTCATGTGCCAGCGATTTCTTCTCCATTTTTGCTGTCGCTCAAAATCTGCTAAGTGTTGAAAATGTGGGACACATATTGTCATGTGTTTCACGTATTGCTGTGTAGAGAACATCAGTTAGACGCCACCACGACGTGTCTAAATTTAGAGATATATGTAGCAAGACCATGACGAGGGCGACGTGTCCCTGTCATTTTTCGCGTCATTTAAAATAAATTACCGGGTGCCAGCTGGTTTTAGGGTTGCTTTAGGCCTTGTGGTTGCTTTAATTTCTGTCGTGTTGTCGTCATATGGTTGCTGTAACGCCATTCGTGTATTTGCACTGCTGAGTTTGGGGAGTTCATTGTCATTGATCAATTGGCAGGCCATGGTTTCATTCGCCAACACACGTTTGGTTGTGCGCGAGCGAATTATCTGTTAGCTGCCCCGCACGAATGCTTGACCTCAATCGGACATGGCATTCCGCAGGACAAAAATAACTGTTAACTTGAGTTTACTATAGTGTACCACTTCGTCGGATCGCACAATTTGTGGTACAACTATACTCTAATCAAGTCAAACAAGCGAAAGTCCTCGTCTTAACTTTTTTGAGGTCCTATATTAGGACTTAGGACTAAAGTCCTAGGGAAAACGTCAAAAGGTGTATGCGTTGGGAAAACGCTTGTCAATAGGTGTAGTGGTCGTGGGCGTCACGTCGCGTCATGTCTCATCATACACGTACTGACACACGTTTTGGTTGCCGCGGTATATCGGCCGACGTCGGGTCATACAGACCCAGGATCGAGCTTCCAAGCACAGTAGTTTATTAACGACACGCTCGTAGCGAACACGGTCAACTAATAATAGCATATAGAGCAACTGTACTCGACAACTTCGCTATTGTAGCTACAAGGAACTACCAACGCAAACCGCAAGCGTATATAGCATGGCTATACTAGGTAGATTTTGCATCTGAATTTCGGAGGTGAAGGAGCTCTAGTGAGAGCCTCCAACCGCGGGAGAGTATAGGTATTGTAGAACTGTGGCAACGCTGACCTGGCTACAATGGATAACGACGTTCATTGTAGTCCCTCAGCCGTACAATTCGCTATCAAAGTCATGGACACCACGAACCGGGCTAGTTGCCTTCCTAACCCCGGGTTTTATGGATTTGGATCTAAGCCCACACACCAGTCACCGCATTCGTTGCTGATGCAGCTTTATCATGCACCTTAGTGCGCTTGGAACCACATACACATACTGTCATACCGACAACCTAGCATACACCTAATGACACGAGTTAACCGCTTTTGACAAAACGTTTCAAATTCATACACCTTTTGACGTTTTCCCAAAGTCCTAACCTGACGCACCCCGATCATAATAAAGCCGTGAAAGATTGGCAGATGCGGTTGTGCAAAGCAAAATGAAAGCAAATCAACTGTATGTGCTCGTTGGTATTCTTATGATTACCTGTTTTCGGAGTGATCTTCTTCTACACCCCATATCCGACAAAACCAAGCAGGGTTGAGCAACTTGCTCTGAGTCTACTTGTCGTCAGCGTTAATGCGGGTCCAAAGGGCGGCCACCGAGTCGAGCTCCTTGCCAGCATATCCGCTGAAGCCACCAAGCTGATAGCCATCGTCGGCGGTGTCCTTTGCGATAAGGGACGAGTCGATCATGGGTGTGCCTCCGAAGATTGAGTTGTTAAAGTTGGTCGTGAAGTTGATGAAGAAGACGCGAGTGTGACTGTGCTGCTCGTCCCAGTGAACTTCCATGCTCGTGACGATCTCGCCCTTGGCCAGAGTGCGTGTGTCCTTGCTGCCTCCATGGCCGCCATGGTACACGGGTTCCGGAAGTCCCTCAATTGTAAGACCGACGCCGTTCACGCGCTTGCCACTGCGAACCGTGATAGCCTTAACGACTTGCCCCGGCTTCACAACGCCCACGTCCGAGTACGCGTTTCCGTGGGGGCCGCCATGGGTCTCAGTCAGGATCACGCCGTCGGGGAGTTCAGCAGAGCCGGAAGCGACGAGCGCCGCCATCGTTAGAGCTTGAAGGAGAAACTTCATCGTCGTAGAGTAGCTTGCTGGAGCTGGTCCTTGGTGTAGGAAGAAAATTCGACAATGAACTGACCGCCCGTGCGATAATTCCCCGTTGGCAGCTCTTCTCGCGCGGCGCCGTCGACTTGGGAGTCGTCCAGACAACGACCAAGGATTACTCAAGATTACCCTGAATACATACCGATACCCCAACCATACGATACAGTTGGGCCAACCGGCTACACCGCTGTATCCAGGATTAAAGATGGGATTTGGGACATCCTACAACTTATTTAGGCAGTTGGGTGGGTATCATTTGCGCAAAGACTTTAGTTCGACCTTGCATATATGGTAGTGTACTAGTAGTATTAGCACCTGAACACAGCATAATGTACGCCGAGTGGGCTTAATTTCACTCCACATATTGGGCTTATAGAAAGGTGTACGTTACAATGAGGTCCTTAGTAAGATTGGGTGAGCACTGTATCAGACGGGAGAGTCTAAGGAGGGTCATTTCCAAAGAGGACCATTTTCAAAAAATTGGCATGTTTTTATGTTGAAGGGGGGGGCGGACACTCGCGCGTTGGCTCTCGTCTGCGGACTTCGACACGGGGGCCCCGCCCCTCTCCCGCTTCGCTCGGGGGGCACCGCTACGCGGTCTGCCCCACCCCCTTAGTCGGAGTCCTCGACTCGGCCAGGCGCGGTGTCTAGGAAAAAATATCGGGTTGCAGCGCTTGCTCGCGCAGACCAGCCCCGCCTAATTGGCGGGCGTTGGAACGAGTGAATGCACTGAGTGAGGCTCGCGCTCGCATCCGCTCGCCCTCGCCCATTCCTCAACAGATCATGATCAAATGCATTGTCTATGAAAATGGCCTTGCTTGGAAATGGCTCTCCTTAGACTCTCCCGTGTCAGAGACTCTGACTCAGAGTTGTCGCGCGTTGTCGCGCTGTTAAACTTCAGACTGCAGTTATACACTGCAGTTATACACTGCAGTTACTCAAATGTAGTATTGTACTCCGTCCAGACAAGGTCGTGTCTGTGGCCCGAAGAAGCTCTGCAATTAAGTTTTTTTGTATTATAAAAGAATGGTGGGACCTTATCCAACAATAAAAAACGACAAGTCTACGGTGCATGCAAGCTCGACTGCAAACGCAGCCACTACCTGTAATGCACACAATGTGGCTGAAAGCGTAGGTTACCATACGATCTGGTGGCTAAGTATTACGAGAAGCAGACGGGCACTTATCCCGGCCACGTGGTCGGGATAACATGACTACCAGATAGTCAAAACGCGATGCCGTGAGCGTGCACCGATGCTTGCGTTCGCTCTACAAATACGTTAAATATGCAAGTATGGTGGGTTGCTGCCGTGTGCGCGCTAGAATCGCTTAAGGAAATGATAATGACGAGTTAGAGGTGTACTGTAACTATCCCGACGCCATGGGCCTCTCCGGGTAGTCGTCGCTGATCATCCTCCGTTTCCTTAGCATGCGCGTTACCTTGCTTAGGTCGAGGGTGCCACGCTGGGCATCCCAACATTTTGGCCCTTAGAACAAACCGCTGGAGAGCATGTTACCTCTGGAGTTAACATCTTCTTGTACAACTCGCCTAAGGACGTCGACTGGCGGTGCACTGTAGTGGCTTCCTAAGCATTTTTATAGCCGCTGAGATTGATACAAGAAGTCTTTGAGGAAGAGGTTAACAGATTCGCCCAATGTCGGGAGGTCGTCGGCGTCTGTGCGGGCAAATACCAAATCATCACACAGGAGCGACAACATAGCGGTACGTCATCAGCTTCCGTGGTTGGGCAGATCTTTTTACCGTCCAGCTCGATGGCAGCATGCTTTGCCTTACTGGGGTCACTCCGACGCGCGTGGTTGTTGCGCTCTTCGGAACGGAAGCTAGGAAACGTGTGCAGCACCAGATGTTGCGTTTGACGCAGCGTTCGCGCTGCAGACGAAAGAGCAAAGTATGAACGCCATATGCCTTTTACTCTCCTTTTCTATCTTGAATGTTTGAACTCAACCTCATAGGCTACGACCACCTACGAAGAAAGAAGGTAGTCTCTTTGAGTTACAGTTATTAGCTTCTCTGTATTGTCTCAGTCGTTTTACTAGCGCCCTCTCCTTTTGATGGAGCCACAAGCGACTTTGTGCGCCGCATAGCGGCGCACCGGTCTCCCCTGCAAGGTGTTCAAACCAATCTAAGATGATGACTCGTAAAAATGAAAGTTGACTTCCAAATGCTACCCAAGTTTCTTGCATGCCCACACATCAACTAAGTCAGACAGTCCTGGTAATATCTATCAATAAATCTTGCTGACGCTTTCACAATTTGAAGTCTTCATACAAGCACCACAAACATGAATTCTACTTTTAGAGAGCGCGCGCCCCACTGCATCCACCATGCATTCGTCCGTCATCCACACACTACGTCTCTCTTAGCTCCGTAGTCAGAACGTTGTTTGCTTATCGAGAAGCCACTAACCTGTAACAAGGATAACTTCTTCTTCAACAAAAAAGATTAAATCAGTAAATATATCTAGGCAATGATTGAGACAAAAAAATAACGTTGTCCAACCAAATGTCACTTTCTTGTATTTTGCTGTTTCTTCTGCTTTTCGAAGAATCGCCACGCTTACAGGTTTTGGCATCGTTTCACCTCCGACAAACAACCAAGATCGAGCAATGCTCTGAGTCTACTGGTCGTCCGCCGCCGACGAGCCGTCGTCAGCGTTAATGCGGGTCCAAAGGGCAGCCACCGAGTCAAGCTCTTTGCCAGCGTAGCCATCGAAGCCACCGAGCTGGTAGCCTTTGCCAGCCGTAGTCTTTCCGATAAGGGCCGGATCGGTCATAGGAGTGCCTCCAGCTATTGAATTGTAGGCGTTGGTGGTGAAGTTGATGAAGAAGATGCGCGTGTGACTGTGCTGTTCGTCCCAGTGAGCCTCCATGCTCGTGACGTGCTCGTCCTTGCCCAGAGTGAGCGTGTTTGAATCGCCGCCACGACCGCCGTGGTACAACGGCTCTTGCCCCTCAATTTGGATGCCGACGCCGTTCACGCGCTGGCCCGTACGAATCGTGATGGACTTGACGACTTGCCCGGGCTTCACGATGTCCACGTCCGAGTACTTGTTTCCGTGGGGCCCACCGTACGTCTGGCTCAAGACAACACCGTCTGGGAGTTCAGCAGCGCCGGTAGCGACAAGCGCCGCCATTGCTAGAGCCTGAAGGAGAAACTTCATCGTTGTAGCTTGCTTGAGCTTGTCCTGAGAAGGAAGATAATTCGAGAATGAACTGACTCCCTGGGACCCTTTCCCGTTGAAATAAATCCCTGTGGAATCAGCTCGGGGATCTCTGCGAGCCCAGACAACACACGAGCAGATCGCCAGCCGGCATCTAGAACCCGAAGGGAAGTTCTTCAGTTCTGTACGTCCAGGTGGACCTCCGAGATGGAGGTTCCAACCGGCACTATGGGATACAGGATAGGATTGGTGGATTGGCGAGTCGGGTCGCTCATTTCGGTATACCACAGTACATGTATAATACTAGTATACATGTAGACGTATGGACCTCCATTCAGAACTTCGAGTTGAAATGCACTCTAGCTCCAGCTCACGGAAAAAGCCCTGGCAGGTCATACCGTCGTGAGGACTCTTCATACCCAGGTAGACACCTGATTAGCTAGATTAGCTGTAACCTTATAAAAGTTACAGTAGAAAACGAGCAACGTTAATACTACGTCGTATGTTGAAGTTACCCCTTGAGTGAAAAGGTCCAAAAGAAGAGATCGGATAGTCGAAGTTGTCACGTTGTTGGAAGATCTGCTTTGACTCTGATAAAGTGAATGTACTGTATTTACTTGACGGGTCGTACAGTACCCCCGCGCTTGCTAGCGCTACTAAGTGGCTGACAATGACAAGTTACTACAATAGGTTGACGCTGAATTCGTGTTGAAAGCGAGACTGCGTTACTGTAATGGGGTTGGCACTGTACATACAGGTATTCAGGATGATAAGTAGCCAGTAGAGTAAAGTACGATAACAACCTGCGATTTGTACAACAGCAACCACACCAAACGGGCACCAGCAACCACTTTTGTGTACAGAACCGATCCTGTACTACTCGGTTCTGTACTCAAAAGTGGTTGCTTTTCTGTGCGGTTTATTACACCGCATATCGCAAGTTCGTGTCACGGTCCACCAACACCAAAACCAATGCTGTATCCCAAAAGGACGCAGGCATTGTCTACAGGTGGCGGCGAGCGGAGCCGCGAACAGGATGGTGCCAACCACGTGCCGACATGCCTATTGACCTCTAAGAATGACTAATGTCTACTTCAAAATAACTCGTGCGAGTTAATACGAAGTCGTGGATTCAAAATAACTCGCGCGAGTTAATATGAAGTAGTGAATTCAAAACAACTCGCGCGAGTTAATATGAGCAGTGGATTCAAAACTGCTTGAGTTAGTTTGATTCATAACAGCTACATGCGTCAAGCTCGAAAGTTGCTAAACGATCAGGTTGGTGAAGTGAGAAAATGGGCTTAGATATTTCAACGAAGCTGTGTGACTGGGTAAAATACCGTCAACATTCAATCCTGTAAAAACTTGCAAGAATGGTACCAACAATGCTCATTACCCCAGAGAGTGTTGGAATCGAATAAGAACGAGGGACATCGGGTGTACAGAGAGTATAGTCAACTAACTGCACAAGTAAATAGCAATGAACCAAACAGACATCGTTCTTAGCGAGTTAGATTGTGGACTATAATTTCGTGGACCACTACCGCAGACTCGCGTCCTCGAGGCATGTGGACTGTTGGTGAGGCTACATCAGTACATCGTAATGGTAGTGGTAGATAGCCGTCTAACGCCCAACAAATTCAAAATCCAAATTTGATCTATAACGTCGGCTACGATGTAACTGCACAACGAGCAATAACGTTCATGAGGGGGCTAACAAGTCTGTTTTAGTGAAGTTATTGTGGAAAGCTCGTATTGAAGAGGTAGGATATACTACTTGAGCAAGCGTTTTTGACTGAAAAGTCACACGACTTACAGTTAGCTCAAATGCCACTCACAGCAAGGGTGTGCGCCTTTAATATTTACCCGTCGGTCACTATATAGCTACAATTCCCAGCGAATTTTCGCATCGTAGTGCACACATACATATTGCTCCAAATTCAGACGTTGTAGTTGCACCTCAACGCGCCTAGGAATAGTAGTTATAGAGAGGTTGGTTGAGTCCTAACGCCTTTATTTAAAAGTATGCAGTGCGAAATGGTTCGTGGTTTAAAACCCCAATGCGGACCATTGTGCTGATTGTCACTAACATCGAGGCAGTGAGCGTTATGGCTATGGATACTCGTTACTAGTGTAAGTGAACTCTATATACCTTATTTCCAAAACAAAATACTTAAGTACTTAAGTACTTAGTATGCTGGTTGGCTCGCTGAGATTCTTAAGCCTGATAAATTTCCCTGAGTATTTTTGAGGGTTATACGTTGCCACTTGAAATATGCCAGAAGACCCATTATATACTTTAGCATGCAAGGTATCCACGCTAGCTGAGTAGTATAACGGACGCTTAGGTGGTTCAGCACGAGGCGCTAGAATACGAGGTGATACCTTCCGAACTACTCTCTATATATTATCGAATCTCTGAGTAGAGCTGCAAGTTCTGTATAAATGCTCCACACAGATAAAATCAAAAAATGCGTCGTAACCATACACAACCACTACCATCTCAACAGAGGAAGCGGCTATCCGGTGGCTTAGAGGCAGGAACTGGTGCGAACCTTACTAAAATGTTTTACTCACTCAATCGGCATATACTCACATGTAAGGGACAATCTGGGTATGTTGTGATACATTGCGGTGCCTGGCATCCTAAGACAAACTAAATGTATGCATTTGTTCACACGGATTGCTTTGTGGCAACCGTGCTTGGGTTGAACTCCGAAATGCTCACGTATAATTACCATTTACTAAACTCAAAGTACAGTATACTCTAGTACGTACCATTTCAATTTAAAACAGTATAATTGGCCTCATATCAGCTCCGTACCTCGCATGACGCCACATTATAACAACTCCTAATAGCTGCCTATACGCATGCGCAACCGGAATCTATTCTACATGTATTAATACAACTTACTTTATGATGTCGCGCGAGTAATTTAATTCAAATTAACTCGCGCGGGTTATTCTGAAGCTTCTGGACCATTTTAACGTGCGCGAGTTATTTTGAATTTGAACCAGGCAAAGCTATACTGAGCTCAAGTACATGTACATGTAGTTTGTGTAGCGGCCATTCGCAGGCGCCCGGCTTAGCGCAGGAACCTGGAGAAAGGGCAGTAGAAAGGACAGGTTGCTAGTGATCGAAAAAGTGGTTGCTGACAATCACTTTCCAGCTCTTTTGGTTGTTCTCGTCTTTTTTAGGTTGCCATTGTCCCAAAGAAGGTTGTTTATGGTCCAAAGTTGGTACACTGGCGACCCGGACTCTAGCCAGTAAGCTGTCGGCTACGTACGGCAAATCACGATGACAGAAGCAGACAGTGAGCAGTATTACGGCCGCCGTAAATTACGGCCGCCGTAATACGGCGTGAGCCCTAGGCACCGAACGTATGATCGGCCGGTCTGTTCGGCTTTTACAGCCGCATCAAGGCACCAACACATCAATAAACAGGGCACTCTAATTTCTCAAATGACTATCTAGTGAAGCTGCAATCGAGACGCGGATATCGCGCGCTATAGCAGTTCGAGTATATGTGCGTACTATAGTAGATGTATATGTAGTTGAAAGCTTAAAACATGTTGTACGATTGAGTTCGCCGTGTCTCTGGCAAGACGGCGGGATAACGTTTTATCTGTTTACGGATTCCGTATGTATTGCATCTGGTGTCGATTCAAGCTGCTGTGCATGTAGAGTGCCGTCTACTGTATTGTTCTCGTGTACCGTACCCTTTTGCGAAAGATTTTTGTTCGGAACGAATTCGGAATTCGGACTC